TTACCTTACACTTTTATCATATTTGAACAAATGCTATATTCGTTGGCTGCAAATTATAACCTCCTTCATAAGAAAATTCTCAATTATTTGTTTGATAAAATAATAAATACCAAAATAATAATTTGATGATTTAGATTGAGATAGGAAGTGGGTAACTATAGTTATTAGATCCAATTAATAAATAGCTACTAGGGTTAGATATAGAGATGCAGACATGTATTGCCATTTAAGAAGAAGTACTTGCTATCAGTATCAACACCATGCAATGAAGCAAAACATTCATTTTAATGAAAGCAAATTTAATGCATTGTGGTGGTCTCCTTCACCAACAACTACTATCCACCTTCTTCGATTGATCTTATTCAGAAAAAACATATGTGATGCCATTCATGATAACCTACAAGGCCTCACCTTCTTGTATCTTTTCTTCTTTCCACTTAAATGGTAGGTGCGACATAAACATCCATTGTTTGACCAGACCTTTCAGAGAGAGATGCATAGATGGCAATCACATCCTTCAGAAGAAGAATTCAAATCAGCATGATGAAGCTAAGGGGAGACTTGAGACCTGGTAAAGGATGAGGGCTGTGCGCATTCCCACTCCCTTTGGACTTGTATTACTGGAGTGGAGCATACGTCCCTTCGTCTTGGTAGGAACATGGTGTCGGCACTGACCAAGATTTGCATCTGAAGAGGCCTGCATTAGTGGAGTTTGTGACACTGGAACTGCAAAGAGAGTTATAGAGTCACCATCGAGTTGAGAAGCATCATGTAGATAGATAGAGACTACCTCTAATATTGGCCAGCACTTATGGCAAAGTGTTTCTTGTTCAAGAATTAGAGATCATTTGTCCCTTCTGAATTGGTTATTCATTTCAATCATTCATCTATTTTGGTTGGACTTTCTTTAACACACGGACTAGTAGAAAGAAGATATGGAGAAAAAAATGGTGAAAATTGATTCATTCTTTTATCTTTCATTTAACTAACCATTAAAAGAAAATTAGATTTACTTTAAATATTCATCTAGGCGATGGTGTACAGGATTCCCTAATAAAAAAATAAAAAATTTTATAAAGTCAAATCTTGATTATCAAAGTTGGATACTAATTTAGAGTCAACTAAGATCCTTTTATCCTGAGAAATTAGTGAATAATTTATCCTCACATGTTTTCCAAATTTATAAGACTGCATCAAGATGTTATTAATAAGACTCATTTGAACTTAAGTTATTAGATGACTTAACAAATTTAATTGAGTTTTTTTATTGAAAAAAACATTTCTCAACGTACCTAAAAAGTCTTTTTTTATTAGCCTTCGAATATTGTTACCTTCACGATAAATATTAATTATAAAAATAATGGTATGCTTCTCTCGAACTTATCTATGGTGGTGGTATGTCGAACATAATAATATTAGATCATTTATTCATATGCTATTATTAAATGTTTAAGATTTATTGTCAATATATGGACCATATACTATCGTGATATTGATTAAGTCATTGTTTTTTAGACTCCTTTCATATATTTTTTTCTCCTTTTCTTTTTGTTACTTTTTCTAATATTCATATCATGTCATTATTCCTAAATCAGATTTGAATCTTATTAATAAATTTTTAATTTTCTCTTTCTTTTATGCGACCTTTTCTGATGCCAGTATAAACTGTACAAGGAGGAAGCGATTCACACCCGGCCAAACTCGTTCAAAGGAGGACTGAGTCACCCATGGAAATTTTCCTCGAGGGCCACGTAGCTCACGGGTGCAATGTGTGTGCCGGTTCATTTCAACAGGCTACGTGTCCCCAGAAAATTTTCATCGGTGACTCAGTCCGCCTGACAACTAAAGCTTAGGTTGGGCTGGACACAGATTTGGGCTTCAAAGTTCTCTGCTTCTGATTGGACCATTAGAAGCTCCAAATATTAACCTGAGACCAAAATCACAATTATGTTTAGCTTTTTCTATGTTCTTATCAAAATTTACCACACTTGCATACATGTCTAGATTTGATTTTTTTTTTGTTTATCTTATATGTCCATTGGTTTGTTTTTGTCACAAATTGTTCATGGCAAAAGTAATTATTTGGATTTGGTTATTTGGACACTTTCCTATTACTCATAGAAAATACTTTTTAATTGTAAAATAAACTTTGTGACAAGCACAAAAAAAATAAAAATATCAAAAAAATTATTTAATAATTATATTAAAATAGTTTATCGAATATTTAGATAACTATAAGAAAATTATCCTCTAACCCAATTTGGTTCGAAATAGAATCGAATCAATCATGAACCGAAATTAATAAACACGATCGATGGTTTGATGATTCTAAATCGAACGAAGTCATACGATTCCAATCGAAGTCACCTTTCGTTCCTCTAATCTCTATCTCTTCTTCCATCAAGCATAATAATCTAAGTTCCTATATCTTCCTCTGTCAAACTGCTGGCGGAGCATTTGTTTTCTTATAAATAAAAAACCAATTTATGGAAGAATTTAGAAAGGTTACATCATTCTTGAACGTGAAGGTTTAGGTTTCTTGTGTAGCAACCAAATGAAAAGATCCAAGCAATCCGTAGCTTCTTCTTCTTGGTTTCTGCAGAAGAAGAAGACTCCTCAAGCAATCTAATCTGCAGAAGAAGAGATCCATTCCCTCCCATGTGGCATGCTACTAACAAATAGCTCGAGTTATGAGGAAGCAACATGAAGTACGGCACACCGTACTCGTTAGGATTGTAGAGCTGACAAGCTCCCGAGTCAACTGTTGAGGTTGCAGGAAAGTGATTCTTCCGTCACCTAATGCTTCGCAAGTCATCCACAAGAGTGAGAGACACCTACAATCTCACGCGCAGCAGACCTTTATTCGTGCTGCAGAGAAGACATTAAAAGAGAGAACCTTTGCAGCCAAACCAGGAGGTGGAAATATAGATGATAGGAACATGGGCTTACGGGATAAACCTCAGTCCGAGTCGAGGAAGTCATCGAGGTAGCTGTGCTGGAAGATCTGGAATGATGTGCATGATTGCTGAGACAACAAGGCAAGCAAAGCCGATGGCACAAGGCTTCTCTGACATGCCAATTCCAATTCCCATGCGCATGGGTTTTGGTGCTAAGTCAAGCGTGGAACGATGAAGGTCACATCACATGATCACTCCAGTTTTGCCTAACAAAAACATTCATGAAGCTTCGGATCTAAGCAATGGCCAGACGTATTAATCCAAGTCTGTTTGATAGGGCAAAGTTGTTTAGCTGAATCTGGTCATTATGCATTAATGTAGCCTTAAATCATTCGGTCAACTTTTACGGGTAGTGAAGGAAAAGTGATCAAACTTGCATGAAAAAGGAACTCAGATATCTACAATTGCAAGCCATGATTAAAAGGCTACTCAACTGGAACTTTAGTTGTGAAAACTATATTGCAAGACTCATGTTTTCACTTTTGAGCTCCTTTTTTTTTTCTTTTGTTACTTTTTGTTTGTAACAGCAGTTTCAAGAATCTATATTTAACAGTTTTTATTTATAACAATTTCTATCTCAGGTACAGTATTTTTTAAATATAGTAATTTTGTTCAAAAAATTTATGATGCACTTTAACTCAAGATCGAATAAAAAGAAGCTCATATAAAAATGTTTTTTATTTTATTAATTTTAAAATAAAAATAAATAAAATTATATTATTTATAATATTTTTTAATATACTTAAAACATTTATACATGTAATACCTCGATTAGTTGCACATCATAAATGAACAAGATTGAGATTGACTTATAAGGATTCGATAAGTGTATTATTATTAATTTCAGTTTAAGCATTTCAAATTGTAATTTAGGTTAAATAAAGTCGATAGGATAATCAAACTTAAATTGTGTTTGAGTCGATCTCCTCTCCACGAGGATGATAAATCCTTGAGTCAAAGAAATTATAATATCTTAATTAATTTGATGAGTGCATTATTATCATAGGGGCTAGTTATTATGGATGGAGTCAAAAAAAAAAAAAAAAACTTAAACTTAACCTTTTGTAGGAATTCATCCTAATTTTTAAGAAAAACTATTGAAATAAATTACAATAAATTTGTAAATTATGAATTAATACTCTGAGATATGAGAGCTCTATGACCCGAGGGTACACTAATGGCATGGAGAACAATTTCACAAGTAGTAAAGCATAATATCTCAATAAGAATTAGGTTCAAACAAAAAATCTATGGTGTTCTCCCTTTTAAGGCTTCCATAAATGGAAATCATTGACCATCATACGTGATGGATGCCAACATAACCTCGCCCTTCGAATAGGTAGCAATAAAAATCTATGGACGCACAATATTAATTCGGACGATCCATCAACCATAATTAAAGATACTTCCCATTTGACTTATGCGAAGATTTTGGTAGGTAAAAGACCAATGTTAACCTTGATCGATCCTTCCTAGATATTTGACCCAAAATTCTCATCACATTTGTAGATTTTTTTCCTGAAATGTTTTGATGTAAGATTCTTAGTGGCAAAAGTATTTACTAGTGCTAATAAGTACATTCAAAATATATCAAATGATATTTTGAACTCATAAACCTTAATAAATGGGTTTGATATATCATTATCGAACTAATATTTAAGATAGATTCATTAGCGTTATAATAACATAGTATAAGATCAATGCTTAATTTATCGCTTTGCTTCCATGTTTTGGCTTCCTTCAACCGTACATATGATTAATGTTTGTGACAGTCAAAATTAGCTGCGTGCATGGCAAGCTTGTACGGACATGCACCTACATTTCTGACTTCGCCACGCAATAATAAACCGACAAAACCGCCACCATCCCTGATCTGTGACCGTGCTGCTCTTCGCCAACCCTTTGACCTTCCGTAACATTGATTGATCCCATGATTTGTGGTGCCCGCAATGTGACCTAACATGATCCACATCGATCTTTGTATCTCGAGAGCAATAAATGGTATGAGGAGTTTTGGAATCACTATAAATGCACCCTCGGCATCTTTGTCCTCCCCATTCGATCCTGCACATCACAGATATCTCTCTCTCCGATGGCACAACCTTTGGGTGGTTCAGTTCTTGCAGTGCTCTTCTTGCTTGCCTGCTCCGCCATGGCGATGGCGGCCTACAACGTGGTGGACTTCGGCGCGAAGCCGGACGGGCAAACCGACTCGGCCAAGGCGTTTCTGGCTGCTTGGGAGGCCACCTGCGGGGCGAGAAAGCCGGCGACGATGGTCGTTCCGGCCGGCAGGTTCCTGGTGAGCCAGGCTCTCTTTAAGGGCCCCTGCAAGAACGCCGGCATGAAGATGGTCATCCAGGGGACCCTCGTGGCTCCTCCTGGTTACAGCGACATCACGCAGTGGATTACGTTGAAGTACGTCGAAGGTTTGTCCGTCTATGGCGGAACGCTGGATGGGCGAGGGCAGGCGTTATGGGCCTGCAAGAAGGCTCGCCGGAGCTGCCCCTACGGTGCTACGGTAGGCCAACTCTTCCGGACCACGAAGCAATTTTGGTTTCTTTTCGTTGGAATGTTGTAATTTGAGCCGAATTGCTGCATGCCGACGCAGTCATTGACCATCGGTCAGTCGAAAAACATCCTGTTGAGCGGCATACGTCTGCTCAACAGCGAGGTCTTTCAGATGTCCATCTTCTCCAGCACTGGCGTCACAGTGCGGGGTGCAACGATCACTGCCCCCGGGGACAGCCCCAACACCGATGGCATCCACGTCCAGATGTCCAGCTCCGTCACGATCAGAGGATCCACGATGAGGACCGGCGACGACTGCATCTCCCTGGGACCTGGATCGGCCCACGTCTGGATCGAGAACATAAAATGCGGCCCTGGGCATGGCATCAGGTCAGCAACTTCGCATTTACACGCTACTGCTTGTACGTGATCTATTTCTGCTGCTTTGGCCGTTCGATTAAGCTTTGGTCTCATGGCGCGGACGCAGCATCGGGAGCCTGGGCAACGCGGCGCAGGAGGCCGGAGTGCAGAACATAACGGTGAGGTCCGTCGCGTTCACGGGAACGCAAAACGGGCTACGGATCAAGACTTGGGGGAGGCCGAGCAACGGGTACGTGAAGGGGATCACCTTCGAGCACGCCGTCATGAGTAACGTCCAGAATCCTATCGTCGTCGACCAGAACTACTGCCCCAGCAACATCAACTGTCCCGGCCAGGTGATCGACCTAAAACAGAGCCATCTTCATCACACGCACACACGCATCTAATATTGTTTCGTTATGGTTGCAGAGCTCCGGAATCAAGATCAGCCAGGTGAACTTCCACGACGTTCGGGGCTCTTCGGCAACGCAGGTGGCGATGAAGCTGGACTGCAGCCCGAGCAACCCATGTAGTGAGGTCTCGTTGAAGGACATCAAGCTCACTTACCGGAACAAGCAGGCGCAGTCCTACTGCAGGAACGTGAAGGGAACAGCCTCGGGGGTCATGAACCCACCCAGTTGCCTCTGAGCCATGGCACCATGCCAGGAGTTGCATGCAACCAGCATACGTGCATTGTACTTTAAGGTCGTCGTCTCCGGCTGATATGTCCTGCGAGCACCGGAGTTCCGGTGAGGGGAGCTTGGCATGCAGTTCTCGAGAGACCAAAACTATGTCTTGTAATCATGTTGTTGTAATCTGGTACGGTAGTAATTTGGCATTGATGTGAGAACGACTCCGCAGTGAAGCATACTTTTAGCTGTGTATTACAGCAGTTGTATTGATTTATGATATAAGAAAGATGTTTCGGTGTCTCATTGTGGAATCTGAAGTGTCGGATTTATTTTAGTGGGTCAGATGTGACAATATTGAGATGATGCATCAACAATTATTTGAATATATTTGATTAGTTGATCAGAAGCCCGTTCTCTGTCCCCGAGAACGCGACCGACGTCACCGTGATGTTCTGCATTCCGGCCTCCGACGGCGTGCTGCCCAGGCTCCCGATGCTACGCTCCACCACCACCACGACTACTCGTTAGCGTCTCTGTCCTTGATCAGGTCATTCTTACCATTCTCGACACAGGAGAGAGAGAGAGAGAGGAGGAGGAAAGGAGACGAGCACCTGATCCAGTCGTGGTGGATCCTTCGCCCATGGGGATCCAGTCGTCGCCGGTCTCTATGCTGGTGTCGATCACGGCCACGTCGCTCGATTTCTGGACGTGGATGCCGTTGGTGTTGGGACGGTGATTGTCGCGCCCTGTATCTGGATGCTGCTGCTGCCAAAGACGGCGATGTGGAAGAGCTCACTGTTAAGAGAGGTCAGGCCGCTGATCACTACCTTCTTGGATTCGGCTATTGTCAACGACTGCAAAACTCCATTAGATCTTCCCACTGCAATCAAGGACAATTAGTCTTGTGAAGGAGGCCGCAGATGGGATTACCATGGCGCGCTGTGGACATCTCCGGCCAGCCTTCCTGCAAGCCCAAAAGGCCTGACCTTGGCCGTCGATGGTGCCTCCGAAGATGGACAGTCCCTGAACGTACTCAAACGGCAACCAGTTTGTGGCAGCGGTGAGGCAGAGAGCGCGACGAGAGTTCCGTCGACGAAGATCCTGGTCGCGTTGTTCTTGGAGGGACCCTTGAACGTGGCTTGGCTGATCAAGAAGTGGCCGGCGGGCACGTAGATGGCTGCAGTCTCGGTGGAATTGCAGGCGGCGGCCCATGCATTTAGGAAAGGCTTAGCTGAGTCAGTCCGGCCATCGGGCTTGGCCCCGTAGTCTGATATGTTGTAGCTTGCCATTGCTGTTGCAAGGAAGAAGACACACAGCATCATCCTGTGAAGAAAGCTCAGTGCTGGTGCCATTGCAAGGGACAGATCAAAGGATATGGTGTCAAAGGCTCGGAAGGATATGATGAACAGGCGGCATTTATAGAGCTGCATTGACTGTTTGATGTTGGGAGTAAGAATCATGATGAGCAGTGCAGCCGTTACCTCAAGAAATGGAAGCTGGTTCGGTGCTTCATTTCTCGCATGAAGAACCTGCAGCATTAATGGGGAGAGAAATTGCATGGCTGTGGCACACACAGCAAGATGACCTGAGATTGTGGTTACCGTGATTTGCAGATGCAATCTTGCATGTGGCATGTTCTTCAACATCCACTTAGGACCAATCGATCTTTCCAACTGGTCGTAAAGGGGATTGGTGGAGATGAATTCGCTTGGTTTGATGAAGAGTTGCAACTTCTATTTCATTGATGAATTTAATGCCACATAAATCTCTAAAGATGTCGATACAGTCTGTTCACTGAGATTATGAAATGAAAGGCCAACAGAGCAAAGTTTGAAGCTATGCAGCATTTGTCCCTATCAATCATTTTTCATTATATATATATATTTATAAAAAATAAATAATGAAAACCGTTAAGATCTTTACTAACTAAGCTTATATATATATATATATATATATATATATATATATATATATATATATATATATATATATAGGGTAATGAATACTTGTCATATAAAACTTGATGAGTGAATTTTTCCCTCAGAGATTTGGTGCTAAAATGATAGATGATTTGACGAAATTCGATGGACTGGGGTTTTGCATACCATGGTATGATTGGTATGAAAATATTCACCATATCAATATGCATATTTTATTTAAATTTTTAAATAAAAAATATTTAAAGATATTTCTCTGTATATATGGAATAGAATATAATGGATTTCACGTTGTTTTGGCAAATCAAAATGGCATCATCGAGTAATTCACGATATAGAAATAATACTGTTTTACCGATCAATGATGACATGGCACATTTCTATTGGTTGTTCATGTGGTGGACCCGGTCTGGCCCTAACAGTGGGCCCATGTTCCTCATCTGGGTAAGGCTGGGCTCGGGTCTACTTAAAGCCCATCTATTTCTGGATCATCACTTGTGCCTACGCAATTCGGTTTACCCAGATCTCCGTTATAGAGGAGAGTCAATTAGATTTTTCTAGGACTCACTTGTGGGACCCTTTTGTTATCCAATAACAAAGGAGTGTAACTAATCGGGTGAGAGAAAATGATGGCAGTTTCGTTCTCCATAGTTATATAAGCGGAGCGCTAATGGAGGGATCTCCAATCTCGAGTTTTCTCTTATCTTCGCTCACAAGTGCCCCGACGCGGCGACGCCAGAGGCGCCCCCAAACGTGTTCTTGCTAGGGTTTCCTCCTCCCCTTCACTGTTGCTGACGCAGCCATTGATGGGCTTTGGATTCGATCGTCGAAGATCAGTCGCTGCCGCTGATGCCCTTGAGGTATTCTATCATTTCTATGTCCGCTGATACCGATATCTTTTCTGTGGATTCATCTTATCACTCTTTGTGCGCTCCTGTAAATTTTGCTTCTTGTTCATTTCCGCTATCTTGAGTAGATTTAGGGTTTTGTGGCTGTAAGACTAGTTGTTTTCTTATTGGTGGGCTGCACTTTTGGTGGAAAGTTGGTGATCGGATATGGTGAAAGCCCTGAGTGGCGTTTTTGGAGAAGAAAGGGGAAAAAGATCCAACTTATTGTGTGATGTACATGTTTCTTGTTTGCTCCTTTTATTGTTCTCTCTTGGTCTTGAGTTGCTTGGTTTTTCAATAGATACTAATTGGGAGAAAGGAATCTTGTTACCAATTTTATACAGTATGGATGTAGACGATCTGCCTATTGCCGTGTCTCAGGTTTACATATAGGCTTATTGTATAGTTTTTTTGTTTATGTTGTTTTTATTTCTTTTCCACGTCGTTGTAAAAGTTAATCAGTCCGTATATGTAAAAGTTAATCTTGATGGTTTTCTCCATCTTATGATGGTTGATCTTTTTTTATTATATTAACGAGCTGTTCCTAAGCTCATAGAAGGATTGTTCTTTTTTTTATCTGGAGGGAGAATTAAAGCTTTCAGATAGCTGGTGGAATTTTGATGCTTTGCATTTCTGGAGAAGATCAGTGCTATTTGATACATGAGATTCATGTTCTAATCTTGCATAACAAGAGCTAGTTATCTGCTTTATTTTTTCATTTGTTGAGACAAAATCATGAGTCAAACTAAGAACCGTCAGTTTCCCTTTTATTGTTTCAGAAGAAGTTTCTTTAGGTATTTCTTGACCTTTCTTTGTAAAAATAATCTGATCAATCCACCTTGCCTTGGACCAATTCAAAAGATTTTTGCTCGTTCTATTCTTGGTAGGAACTATCTTACCTTTTAATGAATATAATTACTATTATTTATTCTGTGATTTCTAGTATTCTTACATAATCAACTCAGTGGCTTCATTTTTTTGGATATGCTGTGTGTGCGATTGTTTGGAATGTAATTATGCTATTGGCTGGATACGAACATGTGCTGCATGCTTCCTAAAACCTTTTCTTTTAACAAATCTCGTAAAAAAAAATGCTATTATGATTTGAATTACTATTTGGATTGTTTCGATAGCTGTTCTTAAAGGCTCTTTAAGTTGCATGGTTCTATCTCATTTCTGGTCTTTTTATTTCCATATGTATGGATCTTGTGTGTTATCATTTTGATTTTAGAGAAGTCAGTATGTTTCGTTGATGGTTCTTTCTAGTTGCAGCTCTTGTTTGTTATTTTCTTAATCAAGTTGATGGTCTGTTGAATGCATTGTGCAGTATTGATTACTAGAACATATAATTTTAGAGTTGCTATTGTGTGGGTAGAGATATGCTTTGTCCCTTCTTAGTAATTCTCATCCTTCATTTTTGAAGTTTTGATCATATTAAAGTATTTGCTGTTTATAAATGTACTTTGATTGACAAATGACAAAATTATCGAGTTTGACATCATATTATTAGAGTGGCCAAACATTTTGTAATATTACACGAACTCGGTGGTTTTTTTTCTTTTGCTTGAGATGAAGTTTATTCTTGACAATGAAAGGTGATCTCCAGATTCAGATCATATTCTTCTGCTTAACATCATCTGTATATGATTCTAAAAATCATCATGTACTTAAAAAATAAGTGGTCCGAGGAAAAAGGTATATTCAGCAGATGGAATAATTTATCATTTATCGTTTTCAGATGACCAAATAATATATCATTTTTTTTATGTCTGATTTGGATGGATATTAGTATTCACAGATGGAAATACCAAGGGAATCAAAGAGGAACTGGTGATATATGTCATGTACCATTTGTTTGCAATTTCATGTTACATTTATGAAGGTTTGTTTGATTTTGTCATCTAAAACTTAGCTGTCCTTTTCTCAAATTGTGATCAATAAAAATTAGCATAATCACCTTTGATGTGGTTGCTTAGTTTTGTAATGGTGTTGTAAAGGAATGAAGTTCATTGGTGAATGTAGCCTATTTAATATTTCATTACAGGAAAAGATATCAGTTTTTATAGTTGTAATGGTTGGATTATGTTCATCTGGAAAATCAAGGGACTATTATATTGGAGTTACATGAGCTTCTTTGTATTTGGATGAGAGTTCTGCCGAGGAAGTATTAGGACAAAAGCAATAGGAATGTATACAAGGCACCTGTTCTTTAAAAGAAATGCTTCTGAAAAGGTTTTACTGCTAGGTACATAGTATTCCATACGGATGGAATGACTGTTGTTGGCACATCTCTTGAGCTGTGCTCCAATTTTGTTTTATAGTCATCTATCGCTATGTAGCAGTTGTGATGCCTTGTTGCTGGGGATTGCAAAAGCAAATAGTGACAAAAATTATTGTTTTCCATCTGACTTCGTTTCCTTCTTTTTGGTTGTAAATGCCAAGGGAGAAGATAAATCAGGATAAGTAGTTGTGCCATTTTATGGACGGCATGAACTGATAGGTACCATTTGATATATTTGTTTCTTGTTCTCATAAACATATCATGCTACTTTGAATTTATGCCCTTTAAACCTCACTAGTTCATAACACACATCTTTGTTTATTTTTGAACTGTGATATTTTTGAAGGCATTTATTGTTCCCTAAACTCATTCAAAAGCCATCAAGATCATGTTTCTTAGTTCTCTTTGGCGTTTGAAAGAATAACATTCATAGATCGTGTTTCTATCTTGATGCCTGATATTAGTTTCAGCATCTCAAAGTTTTTAATTCACACACTGTTTTTGTTGAGTTCTGCAGGTAACTTGAAGGCACTTGATATATTTACAGCATTTGCCAATCTTGTCTGTGGGCAGTACCTAATAAAAGTATAAGCAGCTTAATCAGATGGAGTCATCAGAGGAGGGGCAAGCCTCTATGTCCTATAATCAGGCATCACAACAGTTTTCCTCCAGCAATCAGTCTGGACAGGTTAATTTACCTCCCATCTTTCCTAGTCCGTCTGCTCTTAATTGGGGATCACAAGAGAGGTTATCAGCAGAGAGAAACTTGGCTCAAACTAGGATGCAAGTTCCTGTGCCCGTGATACTAGGGTCTCAGCAGTTTTATTCTATGGTTAACCAATCCATACAGATCCAACCATCATATAGAAACCTTACTCCGATGCCTACCTCTGTTGGCTTGGGTCAGATATCGTTGTCAAATAGACAGGTTCTGGGTACACAATCATCACTTAACACCCAACCAGCTATGTCTGCTAATCTTGCTGCACTGCCATCCTCATCTATATACAAGAGGCATACCCTGATTCGTGCACCATCCAAGGTTCAGAGTGTTCTGCCCATGAATATGGGTTCACAATTGTCATCAACAAATAAGCGCCCAGCACAGTTGGAGCCACCTCGAAAGGTCCAATCCGAGTCATTTGAGTCTGTAAGGTCAAAGCTACGGGAGTCATTGGCTGCATCACTGGCTATGGAGTCTGACCGGCAGCATAAACAAGAAATTGCAGAAAAGTGTACTTCTAGTGATGCTTCGAGCACGATACCAAAAGTAATAACTCCAATGGTTGAGTTGAATTCAGAAGCTAAAAGTGCTTCTTCAGATAAATCTGCTCTGGAAACTGTTCAAAATCAAGCTGGTGATTTACCTTCTAAAGAAAATGCAAGCACTGACATTTTGTTAGCAAGGTCTGATGTCGATGGTCTTCAGCCTAAGGATATATTGTTACAGAAGGAAGTGTCAAATGATAACTCTTTAGTTAAAGATGAACTTTTGCAGGGTCATGGACTCTGCTGGGTGTCTAATCATGGTGTTGGGACTGTAGACAATTCAGCAAATCATGATCATGATAGAAAAAGACTCAAAATGACAAATGAACAGGAAACAGCTGATAAGGAGACAACAGTAAGAAATGCAGGACAGCTGGCATTTAGGATAGAAGCAGAACTGTTTAGATTGTTTGGAGGAGTTAATAAGAAATACAAAGAGAAGGGTAGGTCCTTGTTGTTCAACTTAAAAGATCGTAATAACCCAGAGTTAAGGGAACGTGTATTATCTGGTGCAATTGCACCAGAACGTCTTTGCACCATGTCCATCGAGGAACTTGCTTCAGAGGAACTTTCACAATGGCGATTGGCTAAAGCAGAAGAGCTTGTGCAGATGGTTGTACTGCCAGATTCGGATGTTGATTTAAGGCGCTTGGTGAGGAAAACTCATAAAGGTGAGTTTCAAGTTGAAGTTGAACAAGCAGAGAGCTTCCCGGTGGAGGTTGAACTTGGGACGAGTGTCCTCTCACAAGTTCCTTTGAAACCTAACAAAGAAGTTAAAACACACTCGTCTCTAGTTCCTTCGAAACCAAGCAAAGAAGTTAAAACACAATCAAAATCCAATCATAAGTCTGATGAACCTAAGGCATTCAAAAGAAGGCCATCAGCCAGGAAAATTGATTCTGCTGATCAAAATCTCCCTGGCGATATTGAAATCCTTAGCGAGAAGGCTGATCTTATGCAAGAACTCATGGTGGATGAATTGAAAGATCCAGAGTTGCTACCTCCAGTAGTTTCTCTAGATGAGTTCATGCAAGACCTTGATTCCGAACCTCCATTTGGAAACCTGTCAGTGGATTCTTTACAGGAAGTTTCCTTGGAGCCTGAGGAAGCTTCTGAATCAGACAGCGTGGAACATAAACAAAATGCTGCATCCGGAAGCTTGGGATCAAAGTCAGATTCTTCACGAGGTGGCTCTCCTTCCAAGCAGCTTTTGTCACAAGAAGGCAAGCAACTAAAGTTGGACTCTGCAGATGCCACATCTAAAGATCCTACTACAACCAACCCTGAAAAGGTGGATGTGGAGTGTTTGAAAATTGATGATAACGTGAAATCTGGTTCTGTTGATATTCAGTTAGATACCTGTCTTCCTGAAGTTGCATCAATGAGTGATAAAATATGGGAAGGTTCAATTCAGTTGAATGTTTCTGCATTTGCTACAGTGATTGGCTTCTTTAGAAGGTCTATCATCAGTTTGACTTTGTCATTATTAAATACTATTTGTTCCTTTTCAGTAGCTTCCATGTCCTTCTATTTTATGTCTATATTCCCATCTGTGACATATTTCTGATTTTACTAATTGTGTTTGCCAGCCACATTGCCTCTAGAAGTTCCTTTAAGCTTAAACTTTCATGACAATTCCTAGTGTATCTGACTGTTAATAGAAAAGATGTCAACTGAAATCAAAACTCTACTTATGACAAGCTCCACAAATATTATGGTTGTGGTTTGGTTATACATGTTTATCTTTGATCTAGAACCGCAAAGGTAGGTTGACTTAGTTATTTAGATTCAAGTAAGTTTTTGGTATGTCAAATATTTAGAATAGTGTTTTACTGTAGACCGAGATTGAAATTATTTTGATATCATATAAATGGCAATTGAAATGTTGTTAAGGAATTTAGTAATATAGATGACCTATGTCACAGTTTGATGGGATGCAACTCCTGTGATTGAACTAAAAACTCATTAGACCATGGTTATTTTCTGTAAATTCATTGCTAGGGAAAATATAGATTGAACTAAACAAATCTTTATAAACTTTCTACATAATACATTTAGAGATTGTTTTTCTCTATACTAGTAACACTCAGGAAAACAGTTAACAACATTGGCAATTATGAAAATTTGATTGTTCTTCTATTAGCTAATGTAACTGGTACATTGGATAAGATTTAATATAAGCGTTCAACTAACCTTCCATTTCTTTGTTTGAATATAAATTACCTTATGTTTTATTGAACAACGAGTCATAATAAAAATCTATGATATGCTATAATAATTCCAAGTCCATTACTTAAAATTAAGCTACTAAATCAACATGGAGTACTTGTAATCTAGGTAAGATAATATAAATCTTAATGTAGGCATAATAAGGAATTAAATATTGCAATGTGTTGATATTTTCCCAGACTGTTATTCTGCATACCAAACATACTGAAATAATAATGACAATTAAATAACCTTTTGAAACTCTGAGAAATGTTATGGACCAAACAATGTATTGTATGTCATGATGTACACAACTCCATTAGGAACTCAATAAGGAGAAAGACGAAGGGGCAGCCATATAGAGAAGAAAAGAATGATCCATGTCAATGTATCATTGTGATGGTGTCTTTCAAGGCTCCAAATTACTTCAAGCAACTTAATAAAACTTTGAAAATCTGAAGTTGCTCAATGCAAAATAGTAGTCGAGTCAAATCCTGGACAATGCAAAACTGAACCCAGTGGGACTGCCATAGATGCGCTTGATTACTAGAAGGTCATTCGTTTGACCTGTTTCGAAAGTTTAGCAATTTTTGGCATTCTTGTATCTTAACAATTGACTGATCTTTAGATCATTGCTGCCTTGTTTCATATTTGTTCTTGTTTGCCATGTATTTTGAAGAAAAATATCACTTGGTCAAATGTGCTTCTAAGGTCTTCTCTTTTACATTGATAAAGATAATCCATCTCTTTGAGATGTCTTGATATTGATATTGGTCTGCATGTCCTTTGAGGTTGTTAATGCTTTGTTCCTAATCTGCTTTTTCAGTGGTGAGAAAACATCAACACAGGAATGGCCTAGCTTTCTTGAGATAAAGGGGAGAGTGAGACTAGATGCTTTTGAAAAGTTCCTTAAAGAGCTTCCTTTGTCTCGAAGCCGTGCAATCATGGTATCTTTTCAGCTCAACTGTTGTTTTCTTGAAGAATTTGGATTTGATGCATTTATGACTTAACAACTTGATGAATGAATGAAAGTCAGGAAGGAATATATATATACATAAAGTATTTCAGTTCCTTTACTTCTCTAAATTGTTCCTTCTCTATCAATTGAGCTATGTTGCATCTGCTGGAGGACTTCAGATCAGCTTGTGCCGCTTTACCATCTCAGCTAATGGAACCAAGTATCAAGTTGAATTCATAATTTTGCACCACACTGGCAGCTACGCTATTATATTATAAAAATTTTCATTAATCAAATATTTTTATATTCTGGTTTTTTTTTTAACTATTTGATACCTCTACTTTTTATGGTGTTGCATTTTAATTTAATTTATTTTTCTTTCGTTGTTTTCTCATCTAATTTGAAGAATCCCACTAGTTTGTGTTATTGATAAGACATTATTTAAATACACTTTTTGAATTTTCTTTCTGTACAGTTTTCTGGAAACTTCAAATAAATATAGACGAGCAGTTAAGGAAGTTCAACATAAATATTAGACAAAAGTGTGGTGAGAAATAGCTGCTTATGGCGCAACTATTAATTCTTGCTTACATTTGAGCTTATGTTTTGCTAATGTAACTTGCTTAGGAATTAGAGGAACATACGATAGGGATATTTGTTTTGACCAGACATTTGCATGATCAGATATATATATATATATATTTATTTACTATTTAGATTTGAAAGAAACATATTGGTCTAAAACCACAATGTAATTCTGTCCGTGAATTTTTCTGTACTAGCAATTTCCCACTGTCATTTGTTTGACTATCTAAGTTGGACATGACAGTGGCATCTCTTCGCAACATTTTCATTTCCAGTCATGTCTTTGTTGTGAATTCAATTCACAACGCTAACATACACGAGATTGTTTGATTGGTTAGAGTGCTGCTGAAGCTCGTAGTTGTCTTTTATTAATGTCATCATGTGATGCGCAGATTGCACAGTTTCGTTGGAAAGAGGGATCTCCTGAGAGCGGACGATTGAACCTGCTTGAGGTAGTACATTTGGAAACATCTGAATCAGGCTTTTAGATGCTCGATCTTCTGACGCTTTTCCTAACCCCATTCGTTGCAGATAATTGACTCGTACATCGCGGATGAGAGGGTAGGATTTGCAGAGGCCGCCCCAGGAGTGGAGCTGTACTTCTGCCCGCCGCATTCAAGGACGACGGACATGCTCGAGAAGCTCCTCCCAAAGGAGCACGCCGAAGCACTTCCGACCATTGCCACCACGGATCTCATCAGCTTGGTCGTATGGAGAAGGCCCCATTCCACGATATCACCTCGGCTCTACTCCCATCACAAGCATGGCAGTTCTAAGAAGCAGCACAGCTCAAGAAAACAGCAATCCCAGCCGCTGCCGCCTGAAGACTATGCGGACGATGACGTACCACCCGGCTTCGGCCCCGGAGAATACGATGACCTTCCCGAGTTTGATTTTGTTCATGGCAGCTCGCAGACATCTAAACCTGCTGCCTCCGTGACCCGCCCCCATGTGTTGGCACCGGCTCGGCCGGTAGATCAAATTAGAGAACTGATACATAAATATGGGCACACCGAAAGTGTCAAGAAACCTCCCTTTGATGTACGCCCTTGGAATGACGCCCATGAAGACGACGATGATATCCCTGAATGGAAGCCTCAATATGATCATCGGCTGCAGCCAGAAACACTTACGTCTTCACAACCACCGCCACCACCGACACAGTTTCATACTTACCAGCATCCAACTTTTCAGTCTCTCCATGTAAACCATCAAATCCTACCACTGTCACCGTTACCCAATCCTCATGCTCCGCTTCACCAGCCTGTGGGCCTGCAGCCACCTCTGCCTCCTCAGATTTTAGTGATGCCGACCTCCTTAAACATGCCGCCCGGGTGGCAGCAGTCCCCGCTGCTGCCGCTCTCGGGTGGACCAGCTGATATAACACTGCCTGCAGCCAATGCATGGCAGACTTCTCACTACAACGCGCAGGTCAACGCCGATGGCCGGGTGTACAGCTTGCCCAACGTAGGAGGAGCTGCGCAGAATGTGATGGGTTGGCGGCCGGACGTCTTCGGAAGTCGGGGGATGTAATGATCCGTAGCAGCAACACAGTCTTGTGTGTAACTCATTTCAATTGTTTTTAATGATGTTTTATCTCGTCCGGCCATGGGCGCTAGGAATCCAGCTTTTCTTTCCTTCTCGCTTTGTTGGCAGCTGCTGAAACGATCCAAGCTTTTCGCTTTATTTGCAGCTACTACTTTAATTAGTACAAACTCTTGCACCGGTGGATAACTTCAATAGTAATTCAACTTGAGTGATGATTTGCATGACAAGTAGTAGCATCGGCAGTCCCGTTCGAGTGGTCTCCAAAAATTTCCTACTCCCCGCAGAGCGTTACAGTGACTTGGCCTGTGAACGTGTAGAAATTCTGCAATGACCTTCTGTTGATCGAAATGGATGTGAATATATATGCACATTATATTTGCTTCCTGTAGTTTTGTGGATTAAAAGGCTTTTTCTGATGTTTGAACCGAAAAAAGAGTTGTCCTTTCGTTGCGTGTATATTCTTCTGTACTCTTTCTGAAATAAATAGTTCGGCATTGACCGTGTCATTTCTTGTTGACTTGCATCTCAGAAAAGGTGGAAAGCCACTTGTCATATAAAAACCAAGTCAAGAAGATTTAAGTGGTCGACCATTTCTGAGATCCACACAACAAATCCTACCTCTTTGTTTAGCTGAGAGAGTCGTCACATACCACAGCCTGGATGATTATCGACATGCTTAACCAACTGCAATTGCATTTGTTCTTTTCTTTTGCAAAGGGGAAGTGGTGAAGGGCAAGTTCTCCATTTCGCTCCAGCTTTATAGTTATAGATCAGGAAAACCATAGCCCGCTTAACAGATCTGTGGCAGATCATAGATTATGCTACAACCTTGCAGTGATTAGACTATTAATCTGTGACAGATTATTAGTCTAATGTAGATATGGAACCCAAGGTCAAGAAGGCTGCATTGATGCAGAAATTTCTTGGTGGTAGCACCATTTACACTTTCCCGACTTGAGAACTAGCAGTTGGCATGCATCTTGCTCCTTTCAATACTTTTACTAGCTATTAATGTTCTGTAATCTTCTTCTCAGCTTCTGGTCCTCACCATATCGAGGACTTCACTCACAGCTCCTAAAAGATGCAGCATTGTCTTGATGATGTCCATACTCCACAGTCCACAGCATGGAAAAGGAAAGTTCTATTACCATAACATCAGTTTCAAGTCTTCTAGGTTGCAGTAGGTTTTTGTTCTATCTTCATGAGGTTCCTCTCTAGCATGATTCCATGGCTATGGCTGACCTAGTTTTCTTTGGAAGAGAGTGATTCAAGAGATTTAGAAGTCTTAGCCATCCTTTATTTTTTGTGTGTTAAGAATCAACATCTTTCACTATGATACAAGAGATTCATTTTGAAGATTATGCACAACTAAAAGTTCCAGGAACAGAAAGCAGAGATTAGAGTTGGCAGGTCCAAACATACCAAATTGTCTGCGCAAAGACCTGTTTCAGCAATGCTCCATGCTTTAGCTTTTGTAGATCCTCACAATTATAATGTGATCTTCAAGAGTGCTTCATCCTTCACCAACCAAAACAGCATTCTATCTGTTAGTTAAGTTTCAATTGAGTGGAGAAGAAACCTACAATCTTCCTCGTCAACCTTCTTAAGTTTAGTAATTAATCCATCCCTGTCTGTCTTGATGAAAAGTAAACACAAGTCAAAGTGATCCTTTAAGCAATATAAGCTCAAAAGCAAACCCACTCTGCCAGCTCTTTGCATTGGCTTACTTTTGATCGAAACCAGCTTGTCAAAGTGATCCTTTTGATATAGATTTGACACTGTCAAGGAGTGGCCCCGATCGATTGATACAGGCAATGCAGTCATGCAATGGGTTGTGCAGGTTGTGGTGTTCATGCACACCACTAAAACTATTTCCTGCCACATCTCACATCATGGAATTCTTCCATTCTTCCGTGTCAGGTCTCTCCTACATGTAAGTCTAAATCTCTTGTTCGTCTTGCGATCTCCCTTCACCAAACCATACTCGCGGATTGTGTTCATGTTGGAGTCATCTTCTTCGCTCGATGCATCGTCTGTCTTCTCGATCGATCGTTCTTCCTCTTTATGAATTCACTGAGATTTGTAGGTTGCTAGCTTCTATCTAGCACCATGCTGTGACAACTATGTCCATCCGAGCTCACTGCACCACGTTTCTTCCCTTGGTTCATCCCTCCGTATCCCTTCTCTCCACGTACAACCATGATCTCCATCTTCCGCTCCTTCCTCCGTTGCTTCATTCGAGCATGCAGATACATCATCCTCTGCAGAGAGTTCCTCGACTCTCTAGCGGTGGAGATCTACGAGCTCAAAAGCAAGAGAGAGGATGTCGAGAGAGATGTCGTCAAAGCTAGGAGAGGGGGGAAGCAGCCGAGGAGCCAAGTCATGTGGTGGTTGGACCGGGTGGAATCCCTCGAGAGCAAGTTCTCTAAGATCAGCACAGAATTCGAGCGAAGGTTGATGCTTCCAGGAAATCTTGCACCAAATGTTTGGTCGAGCTATCGGCTCAGCAGCAGAGCCGATGAGATGATTGCCGAGGTACGCTACTTGAAGAGCAAAGGATCCTTCGACCAGGTCGCTGACGAAGTGTTTCCCGATCGATTCGAGGAGGTGCCGAGTTCACCGACTGTGGGCATGGATTTGGTTCTCGAGCAGCTGCGTCGAGTCTTAGAAGATGATGCCGTAGGCATCGTGGGAATCTACGGCATGGGCGGCGTCGGTAAGACGGCACTGTTGAGCAGATTCCACAACGAGTTCCTCGCTGATGCGACCCATCTCGACGTGGTCATCTTCATCGATGCATGTAGAGGTCTGGGCGTCGATCGCATTCAGAGGATGATTGGGGATCGTTTGGGCTTGTCACGGAAGAACAGGGGATCGCAGGAGGAGAAAGCAGCAACCCTGTTCAGGGTCCTCAACAAGATGAGGTTCGTACTGATACTGGATGGCGTTTGCCGTTCTCTGGACCTTCGAACGGTGGGAGTTCCCATTCCCAAGCGGAGATCGAAGTGCAAGATCGTACTGGCGACGCGAAACGAAGATCTCTGTGACCAGATGGGCGCGAAGAAGAAGATCAAGGTAGAAGCCTTACCATGGGATGCGGCCTGGAAGCTGTTCACGGAGACGGCAGGCGAGGAGATGATCGATTCCCACCCGGGAATCCGGCGGCAAGCGGAGATTTTGGTGAGGAAATGCGGTGGCTTGCCGCTCGTACTCATCGCCGTCGCGCGAGCTCTGGCGAGCAAACGATCTCTCGAGGAGTGGAAGCATGCGGTGGCGATCATGAACAGCGACCCGGCCCAGCTTCCAGGCATCGCAGAGCATGTGCTTCGTCCCCTCAAGCTCAGCTACGATCTGCTGCCCGATGACACATCGAGATCCTGCGCCTTGCACTTCGCCTTGTACCGGGAAGGCTGTCGCCTTCACCAGAACTTGCTCCAAGAATGCTGGATCGGCGAGGGAATTCTGGGCGACTTCGAAGACGTCGAAGAGGCCAACAACAGAGCGTGCTACCTCCTCGGAGTTCTGAGCGCGGCTTCGTTGATCGACAGAGTCGACGCAAATGGCTACACCAGGATGCACCCGGTGATCCGTGCCACGGTCTTGTGGATAGCTTGCGAGTGCGGGAAGAAGGAGAACAGATGGTTTGTGCGAGAAAGGGAAGGGTTGACGGATGCACCGGACGCGGAGACGTGGGCAGGTGCGACGAGACTAGCGCTGGGGGACAACGAGATAGCCGTGCTACCTGAAGCCCCCCAGTGTCCTGATCTCGTCTCCTTGAAGCTCAAGAACAATTTGGGTATCGAGAAGATACCTGACGGCTTCTTCGGGTTCATGCCATCACTCGCGGTCTTGGACCTTCACTCCACTTCCATCAAGGAGCTTCCGCCGGGGATCGGCAATCTGGTTGGGCTGCAATTCCTCGAGCTCTGTGGAACCAAGCTCAAGTCGCTGCCCAAGGAACTGGGAGCTCTGACCAAGCTGAAGTACTTGGGATTGAACTGGACGGTCGATCTCGCCAGCATTCCCGACGGGCTCATCCGTGACCTCGGTCAACTGCGAGTCCTGCGGATGATCGTGAGCTACAGGTCGTGGAAGGCCGGCTCGAGTGGCGATGGCGTGGACATGGGGGAGCTGGAAGCGCTGAATCGACTGCGAATACTGGACATCACGGTGGGAACAGCTGCGGCACTGGAGAGGCTGGCGCAGTCGCGGAGGCTGGCGCCGGCCACCGTGGCGCTGCTGATCAAAGGCTGCAGAGACTTGAGCAGCATCGAGCTGCCGTCGGTTATGGGGAAGAACATGAAGCGACTGAAATGGCTTCGGGCATCGCATTCGAAGGAGTTGGAGGATGTGGTGATCGGCGGCGGCGGCGGCGGACTGGAGAATCTGGTTCTTGAGCATCTGCTGAAAGCTAAGATCGTGTGGCGAGGGAGTCACGGCCAGAATCTTCGTGGCCTCTACATATATGGCTGCAACGGGATGGAACAGCTGATCTACCACAAGGAGGACGAAGAAACCGAGGATGGCAGAGCTTCGGGGGGTGTCGCCATCGTCCCTTTTCCCAACCTCACGGAGATTGCACTCCGCGGGCTTCCGGAGCTGAAGAGAGTGAGCGAGGAGAGGAAGATGCTGGTGTTTCCCTCACTGGAGAGCATGGAGGTGGCGGAGTGCCCGAAGCTGAAGAAGCTGACGCTGGTGGCGGAGAAGCTGAGAGAGATCAAGTGTCAGAGATCATGGTGGGATCAGCTGGAATGGGAGGAGGAAGATGATGCGACCAAGTCCGCGTTCCAGCTGATCATGAAACCGCTGCAGTGATGTCGATGCGTCTACCGATCTCCATTTCCATTTGTCTTGGAATGCTTCGTTTTCATTGCGTGTGTTTGCTTCATTCTTTTGTAATATAATATGTGTAATATAATATGTGAGGACACTGATGCATTTTATATAATACGATTTTGAATTATAAAAAAAAAATATTTGTGAATAATTAAGTGTTGTTTAAAAAAATAAAAAAAATATTTTAAATAATATGAGTAAAATAAATGTTTTAGTTAGAAGAGCTGATATAATTATTATTAGTAATTGATCTACGATAAAAAAAAAAATTATATAGTTGACCTCAAATGATAGAATAACTTTAAACTTGAGAGACATATGGATCTAATATCGAATGATTACTCGATCGTCATGATACTCGAGTACCGTCCTAATGATTATGTGACCAAATATATTTCAACCCAATTTAATGTATTAAGCTCATTAACTCCGATATATAATAAAATTTAAGCTCTCATTTCCTGAACAGGTTTAACTGAGATATAACAGAGCCATCTCTGCCCAAAAGGCATTTAAGCATATGATCCAGGAACTAAGCTTTTAAATGGATCAACAGGTCTAATACAACATTCTTAATCATGGAAATCATACAAAGAAAACAAAATCAAACAAGCTTAAAGAGCATTAATTTTACACAACAAAGTCCACTGGGCAAAACACATTCAAGCATAATCTACACTGGTGACATGCACATCAACCCCCAGAACTAGACATTCACATATCACACCATGAACTTGATCATCTCCCTCACCTGCCAAAAGCCAAAAAGCAATTTGCATTAGGACAATTACAAATATGCTCATAGTTACATCTATAGCACCCTTATACATGACCCCTATTCCTTGAAGGCTCAAAAAATATATTTGAAATATGCTCATAGTTACATCTGAACCATTAGATTGAGGAAGCTTAATGTGCCTCTGTACAATCCAAAGTTATTATCTCTAACCATGAACTATATTTGAACTATAACCAGATTCATATTCAGCAAAGAAACATGTAAATCAACAAAGAAGCCGAAGGTTATTCTTTTCATTAAACAAATCAAATATCCTAGGAGTATCTATAAAGAACCAAAGGGCATAAAGTCAGAGTTACTCACTTGGGTTCTGGTCTGGAAGAAGGTGCAGTGCCACTGTAGTCGAAGGGCTCATTGCTATATGGATGCCGAACAGAGCTTCTGCTTGCACCTGCATAACTCATGGAATTGGATGCAGAATCAGCATTTGGGTTCATGCCAGCCAACTTCATAATGTTCTCAATCTCTTTCACCACCTCACCCATGGTGGGTCGGTCAATTCCTGATTCTTCCACACATTTCATTGCCAACTCGACAAATTTCTCAAACCCACCAAGTCTGTTGCCCAAACCAAGTGCAGGATCGATGAGCTCATGAAGGCCATACAAATCTTTTGACTTGTCCATCGTACACCTTACTTCTCTTACAACATAGCGGCCATGCTCTATAGGTTTCTTTGCAGTTACCAACTCCAGTAATAAGACCCCAAAGCTATACACATCACTCTTCTCAGTCAACTGTTGAGTCATGTAATATTCAGGATCTAAGTAGCCCTATGTTCACAACAAAAACCATTTCGAAAGTTAGAACCAACAATATCATCGTGATGCCTATAGAAATTCTCTTTAGAAAGCTAAAAAAATGGATAATAGTTGAACACCAACCATGGTTCCTTTCACTTGTGTGCTGACATGACCCTTTTTCTCGTCTCCAAGTGGCTTAGAAAGTCCAAAATCAGAAACTTTTGCATTCAAATTTTCATCCAGAAGGATGTTGCTGGATTTGATATCTCTATGTACTATGGGAGGACTAGCAAGCTCATGCAGGTAAGCAAGACCTCTAGCTGCACCAAGGGCAACTCTGAGCCTCCTTTTCCAATCTAAACGGACTCCAGATTTCCCTGCATGTGATATGCTACCATGTAAAAATGAGGCAATCGAGATACACCCAATGATAAGGGATGGAGAAAGGAACTAAAGTTGACTGAAGAGATTCCATTTTGTAGATATGCATTATTGATGTAAAGGAGGATCCTATATGCATAAAATGCATGTCCTTCAGTAATTATTTTTGCCAATGTTTAGTTAATTTGATGATAATGAGGAAAACTTTGGAGAACAATAGTAAATTTTACAGCAATCTTCCTCATTACAGTGAAATGAAAACTCGGAGGCAAGGTTATAAATATGAATTAAGGCTCTAACCAGAAACAATTCAAGACTATTTGCAGTTTGGCCAACATTAGAAAAAAATAGTCATATTTTCTGCCAAATAAATAAATTAGGAAAAAGTGACTATTCAACATGAGACGTTTTCAAGGCTCATAAATAATTGTCCTACATAAGGCAACTAGGAATTCTTAGTCATGACTGGTTAGACAAACAATTTCAGCTTTATTACGAAATGATTCGGTTCAGATTCTTAAGACAAATAGGTTATTGAGCAAACCAATGAGCCACAGTCTAATACCTCATCAACAATCAGTTCCTAGTATCTGCAATGCTATCACAATCTTCTTCAAATACTGTTACAATAAATACAGTGGCTTCACTAACACATTACTTGTGCAAATAGAGGAAATGCATATAGGAGCAGCTAAAAAGGAATGCCTCATTTGGTAAAATTTGTGTGCTTCCTTAAGAGCTCTACAGAACCGGAAAAAGAGATACATTGATCCAGAAGATGACAATAGTTCATTTCTCTGTGTCCTTAGTCTTGCTGTTGAATAGGAATCATCAGAACATGCACAAGAGTTAGTCAAGTACCTGATAAGCTTTCTTTCAGTGTACCATTTGGAACATAATCGTAGACCAGTATCTGTTCATCTTGATCAAAGCAGAAACCAGCCAAACTAACAAGGTTCTTATGGTGAACTCTTGAAAGTAGTTCTACTTCAGTGTTAAATTCAAGCACACCCTGTGTGGAACCCTCCTGTGCCCTTTTGACAGCAACAAGTTGACCATTACTGAGTACTCCTTTGTAAACCTGTAAGATTAGATCCACTATTGTCTTTTTATTTTTTATTTTTTAGTTTGATCAAAAATAATATTATTTTAACTAATTGTCTATGGCAAATATAGTAATAATATCAACAAATTATTCATCCCCTAAGCCTTCATATGCAAATATAATATTTCATATTCATACTCTTGCAACTTTCTGAGCATGTTAACTTTATAAGATGATTGCATCTTCTAATAGAACTGTTTCGGACAATTCAGCTCTTATAAAAGAAAATAAGAACAAATAGCTAGGAAAATCATGACACAAATAACATGTAGTTATTGAGAATAATAGCTTGGTTTGCATATCGAGGAGAATATCTTATTCATAATTGTTTATCTTTTATTGTTGGCAAACAAGGGAAATATGGTGGAAGGGGACTCATTTATGGGACATTAACCCTTCCCAAGCCTCATATTAGTGGGAGCCTCATGCACTGATTTTTTTTTTTTACCTGAAAAATCATTGTGCTTATATATTCTTTTCTGCAAAACTTTTTCACAAAGGGGCTTGATATTAATGGTTTTAAAAAATGCATTTCAGAAGTCACCATCTCATTGTAGCTATTCATTGTACCTTTTTTGAAGTAATCTTTTTCTTTTATTCCCTAGAATCAGGTTGCTTCTATTCTATCAAAGTTACCTAGATGTATATGAATCATTTCCTCCTTGGTTCTAAAACAAGATTTGATTAAAATACAATCAGATATCAGAACATCACAACCATAATAGTTGGGACATTACAGCTTCTTGTTGTTGTTGGGGATATCAGATCCAATCTAAGCGAATGTCCCCCCCTCCACCCCCAACACAAGAATTAATGAAACAACCTACTAATTTAAGATGTAAATAACATAAATGTATAATCCGAAGAGTGACCATCTGATGAGTAGGAATTACCTTTCCATATCCACCATCTCCAATCTCATTGGCTTCTGAAAAGTTATTAGTGCACTTCTTTACATCATTGAATGAAAAATGTCTTGCACCTTTTATCTGTGGAATGCTGCTACTGCTGCTGCCTTTTGTGAAGTCCCAGGATCCTAAAAGTAAGAAAGCATACTGCTAAATTAGTTGAAAATGTATAATGTTACTTTATATAAACTCTCACCAGAAGCCTGTCTTCTCTGTGCAGTTCTTTTTACTTTTCTTCTGTGTGTAATGACAAATGCTGCACAACCAATAAATACTAGAGCAAGTGCTGCTGCTCCAGCTGCTGCTCCAATAATCACAGGCAGGTGATTTGATTTCTTACTTGTTGCAATTTCTGCATGCATGCATCATTTATACAAAAACAGATAATTTAAAATGCCATCAACTGTTTTCATTAGTAATCTAAAACTGGTTGAGTACCCAAAATTACCAGGTGCAGCAGGGTATGCTTGTCCTATGAAGTAGAATGGCCCAAAAATCTTACTTGGAGGCTTGAAAATTTGATTGCTTAGCATAGAGCCAAGTGTAGAAACATCTACTTCACTAAAACGTGTTTTACCACTTGGAAAGACTTGCAAATTCATTTCCAGATTGTTAAAGGAATTCACAAAAGAGTTATTAAGAGACACAGAATCTACAGGAACCTCTTTTAGAAATGAAGCTTTTAGTTCCCGTTCCAAGATATGGTAATAAGTGGTATTCTGAAGGTCTGAATACGAAGGAGATCTGAAATAAAGAGTGCCTGTATATGGATATGCACAACTACAATTAGGACTGAGGTTCTGATCTGAAGCACAAGCAACTGGCACACAGTTCTGTGGAGTTGAATATGGAGGAGCAGATAGTTGTGGAATTTTGCAGTAGGATAGATCATCGTGTTGGTCACAGGCTGGATTCCCCACAAGTCTGCAAGTAAATGAGTAGAACAATTCAAAGTATGTAGCATAGAGAAAAACGGTGGTATACACAAAGTCACAAACAACTATTTCCCTACAACAACACATTAAAGAGGTCATCCTACATTATATATAGGTTCACATGATGTTAATTGTAGAAGGAAGAAAAATACAATTTTAGCTCTTGAAGTGGTGTTATGTAGGAAGTGTCTTACATAAGTTTCTTATTGTATCCTCCTCCAAGTACTATGGAAGATATGTTATTGTCCTGCAAATCAATCAGTTCTAGCTGACTGTTTTCAATTGCTGAAATGTCAAAAGAGCCATTGAAACGGTTACCTTTCAGCCTCCTGCATCGATTAGATCAATAAATCAGCTAACATAAAGATCTAACTGTAACTTGAAGAGAATATAAATACAGTTGGTATTTGTATTCATGTGCAGAATAAAATTTGAAGAATTCAGCTGCTAGACTTTTTGAATTTCCATGGTCCTGCACATGCACCCACATGGACAGAGAGGGGAGAGAGAAAAATCATCATATACAATTATACATTACATTGTTCATGTTTCACTCACACAGTCTGTAATGGTGAATAGTTGAATATTGCTGGTGGAATCTGCCCTCCTATTCTTGAGTATTCCAGATATCTGCAATAAAAGACAGACATTATATTAAAAACAATTATGTTTCTATAGATCAACAGGAAAACGTAATGTACCTAGCTCTATATGAATGTTCCAGAAAATTTTAGAATGGACATTTTTAACCTGATTTGATTCAAATTTGAAGTGCACATGAAAAATAAAGACATTTTTACATGATCCAACTCCTGCATTCGAAATGTCAATCAATGAGCATACACAGAGTGGCGCTTGAAACTGTTGGACCTTGTATGGAGCTAGCTAGTTAAGCACTCAAAATGGAAAGTCTCCTAGTAGGTGATAATTGACAAATAGTCATAACTACTGAAGGGCAGTGGAGAATGATATAGAGTCAGATGAAGATGATGATCATTTTGTGAAAACAATATTGTCTGAAAGGTGGTGCCAAAAATTAGTGGTGATATAACTGGTAATCGGTAGCCAAATCGAGCAAAATTGTAGTAGGGTAACTATTATTGGTGGTAGTGAGTAATGGCCGTTGAACATATTATAAGTTTCCTTTATTTCATACCTTTTGTGAGCAAAAGAAGATACAATATGATCTAAAGTGAGGTGCAGTGTGCATACTATGCTGACGTTTGTGTATGGGTCGACGGCCATTGGATAGGCAAGGAATGACAACAAGAGTCACAAGAAGAAAAAACATGGAATGCTAGGAAGAGCAGAATAACTTGGAGATTGTGGAAGTTCCTTCAGGCTATTATAGGATGCATTAAAAAAGAAAATAGGCATCATTAAAGTCAATGCTCACTTCTGAGAGTGCCATGAAAACACCATATTGCATAAAACTAGACAACTAAAACTCAAAACTAACAGTCAGGACTTTAAAACTCCATACACATAGGAGTCACTGTCTCATATTTATAAACTTTAGTTATATCGGTTAATTAACAATAAGGGAGACACAAAATTCCCTTTAACAAAAAGGAATAATAAAGGAAGGAAAAAAGTGATAGGATATAGATAAAAAGATAGGAAAGTTATCTTGCTAAGAATATGTGAAATAGAGAACTTTTCTTTGCAAGGCAAAGGGACAACAGGATTTTCATAGAAAAATAATAATCCTTAAGAAATTACTCTTGTCAACAACTTTTGACAAAAAAAAAATCCAAATTTCCATCTTTCCGATTATCTATTCAAATACAAAGGATACCATACTCAACCAAGTTTGAGATCTTTGGGAATTGTTGACTTGCCAATTGCATCAATCACACTGCAAAATCTATGGTCTACCTACAATGCTAATTTGAAAAAGGCAACCTAAAATGAAATTATGAGAAAAGGCTATTCAAAAGGAAGCGATAGATGATTTATGAGTGGCTGTTGCGAGAATCATCAAAACCATGTTATTTGCTCTTAATCATTCATAGCATAAAGCTTGGTTTAAATACTGATTAGATTTGTTCTTATTGATAAATATTCATAGGTTTGGCCAAGCATGGACCATATAACTCATTACTGTTTGGTATATCAATTTTTTCTTTGTTTTTAGAATGACACCAGGCTGTATAGGTTGATGTACCACTAAGTATCTTGACGATCCAACAAACTATTAAAACTGGTATAAAAAATGGTATCTCTTCTAAGATAGATAAATGGATCCATTTACCATAAGAACCTAAATGGTCATGCTATTACAACTAGAAAATGAGCTCCCCGATCAGATCAAGAATTACTTTAACATAGGTCATGTCAAATGTTTGGGATTAAGAAATATCTCGATACCAGTATACCACCCAAGTGAACTTTTCCCCTCTAATGAAATAAGTTCTCCAAATAAAATTCTCTAAAAGAGAAATCATAGTTGAACAGCCTCCATCAAGATTTCCTATGTAGTCTGGTATAGATATCAATTTTAAAATACTAAAGAAAAAGAATACTGTCATCTCCAAATTGATTTCTTTTGCAAATGATACTCCAGTAATCAAATCACAATCCCTATTTATATAGCTATGTCCTCCTAGAAAAATCTTGATCCCAGCAACCAATCTCCTGGTTAAGCACTTAGAGGAGAAGAAAGATAAACACTTACTGAAATGAAAGCAAAAAAATCATGATAACTATCTTCCCATTTTACCAATATGTTATTAGGTTCATCAATTAGTGGTTGTAACTTTAGAGATTAAAAGTTCTAAGTTAAATAAGACTAAAATTGAATATATTAACCCTTCTTAGAACCGACATTAAGAGAAACCTTGTGCATAGGGCTGCACAATTTTTGGGACTATGATCAAATATATAACTCTTGAACAAAGAAGAGAATCGATATTAATTTAAGTAGATTCATGAGGAGTTTTCAGATGTAAAAGTTTTAAATATCTTGAATGTATTATACAACAGGAAGGAGAGATTGATAAAAATATCACTGATAGAGTTGAAGCAGGAGAGTTTAAGAAAACAGGAGCATCAAGTATGTTGTGATTGTCATATGGCCCAATTTGGAGAAAACAATTATACGATGGTTACAAAGTCAACCATGTTTTATGGATCAGGGTTAAACGACATATACAAAATGTTGGTGTCCTAAAATTCTTATTATGGAATTCATCCATAAGTTATTACCAGTGTAACTTTGCTGTAAATCAAAATAGATAATAGTATATAAAAGGAGAGAGAATTACAATGATGTTAAAGAGGGTAGGGTAGAGAACCATGATGGAACATCAGATTCATCAAAGGAGTTGTTGCTCATATCCCTGCAAGGGTATTTGTCAGGTCAGTTCATATCCAATTGAACATTCTATCAAATAACATTCTTGATGACATGCACAAAGCAACTGACAAATAAACTCAAACTAAAAGCTTCTTGCAAGGGAACATCCAAGACAAACAGGCGTTGTCAGTTAGATCATGCATGACCATTGAGCAGTTGGTGTTCCTGATAATATATTGAAAGGTTCCATGCATAAAATTGCATACTTACACAAAGCTGAGTGCACTCATTCCTGTTAGATTTGGCAAAGGGCCCGTCAATTGGTTGTTTGCTAGATGCCTACACAATGTCAGGATTGTTCAAGTGTCTTATCAGAACATGTAGATGGAGAAACATACTTATTTATCCCAAAGAAAAATGACTTACAATTCTGCAACTTTAGTAAGATTGTTGAGATTAGATGGAACAGGCCCAGTCAATGAATTCTTGTCCAAACGTCTGTCAAATATGCAACAGTCAACTTTGGTTCTTACTACAAATGCTTCATTTCAAGTTTAGGGACTTACAAGACCTCTAGAGTTTTAACAAGTCCCAAAGTGGGAGGGATGGATCCTGTGAGATTATTATTATCAAACAACCTGAGGAATGAACAAGTCAATAGTTTAGATAGGAAATCAATGAAATGGTTCCTCAATCATTGATACTTGGAATAGGTTACAGAAGCTTACACATGTATTAGTTGCATATCGGAGCTGAAAATATTTCTTGGGATGGTTCCAGAAAGTTGATTCATTCCAAAATGGCTGAAATGCACTTTTATGTTATTCATCATAGTTGATTTAAGAATAGGAAGTTAATAAAATTAAATTACAGCATACATACAAGTGTTTGGTATAAGTTAATGAATCCAGACCCGGACTGACTGGGATTGTCCCACTAAGCTTGTTGTCAGCTAAATCGAGCCAATAAAGATTTGACAGATTGCCAATACTAGAAGGTATGCCTCCGGTGAAGCTATTAGAATTCAAGGATCTGCAAGAAGAAATATTGAGCAACATAAAAAAAATAAGCATGAAAAATTAAAATTAAAATATCTCTTTTCTCAATGGCAATGTTCAGGCAACGAGTAAAACGAATTTATACCTTTTAAATTAAAAAAAATCCATTTTGAGTTTATTTTTGTCCTTTGTTTGAGTAGTTATGCCAGATTTAGATCTCTTGAGTTGACTGATTCTATCTACATGATAGTAATTCCATAAGACGATGAGAGCAACAATAAATCCTCAGAAAACAGCATCGTGTAAGAAAGATGAAATCACTTTTTGCATTATCAATTTCTACGTCTCAGGTACGCTAGGATCTCCCTTTCTCCTTAATTTTGTCAGCTACTATACTTGTCATAGTACTTCAATAATTTTCTGTTGATATGCAAGCACAGATGGTTTCATCACCAATGAATGGTTCAAGACAAAAATGCAAAGGTGAGTATCTTTATCTTACAAAAAGGTCAAGAGTGAAAGAGAGCCTATCTCGGGTGGTATTTCACCAGAGAAACTGCAGCCAACAAGTATCCTGGAAAGAAGAATGGCAACATAATCAAGATATAAGACTGCAGATATGAACATAAATATATGGCTGGTTCAGATTGTTTACAGGTTTACAAGTTTACTCAAACTCCCAATTGATGATGGAAGGCCACCAGTCAAACCCTTGTTGTAAGACAAATCCCTACAAGTGGTAAATTCAGGTAGATCATTAAAATATCAAGGATTTCAGGAGAATTATGAATAGACGGACCAACAAAAATCAGCTAAAGAAACTAAAAATGAGACTGTTGGCTCTGGCTACATTATTCAAGTATCATGTTTCAACAGCTTAATTACCACAGAAAGAAAGAAAACACATAATATCATCGAGTTAATCGACATCATGTCATCAAGGAGCAAAATAAGATAATATGAGAGCACAACACTCAAAAGAGGACATGATAATAGAGAACTCACAAAGCTTGCAGCTCGGTCAAATACTGGATGTCTCCAGTAAGTGTTCCTTTCAGTCCCAAGCTGGATAGAGATCTGAGAACATATGTATACACATGACAGTCAGATTGTTCCAAGTGATGCAGTTAACTTTACAATTAAGCCAATAAACTTAAATAAACTATTTGTTTGAGGACTCACATGGAGGTTACACGTGATTCGTTGTTGCAACTTATACCAACCCAATTGTCACCACAAGGATCGGAACTTCTCCAATTGGATGGGATGTTCTTCCACAGCGTGGCAAGGGCATTCAGAGCAGCAGCTACAAGGAAAATGAAGATACATTAGAGATAAACCTTAAACAAGAACCAAAAATTGCCTAAACTGAATATTTCTTATTTAGCTCTGTTATAGCTGCAAGCCCATTTTGATCTGTCATAGCTGCACCACCAAGAAGCATGTGCAAGTGTTTCTTAGGACTACGAACATGCATAACTTCAGATCCCTGTCTACCATAATGTGGAGGACTTGAGGCTTTCTTTGACTAAAGATGTCATAAGAAAATAACATCATTAGAAATGACTGGCGAACTCTGCTAAAAAAGGATCCACTGGCAAAGAACCTTAGAGGCTTCCAAAAATATGCTGTAACTAGAGAAAGTGACTATGAAACTCCTTAATTATTAGTAATCTTGATCACCATTCAATTTGCAATTCAAATGAAGTTAAACTCCAAGCAATGCTTTGATGAGTGCAGATAAATGAATTAGATCTTGCTACGAATCAAACAGAGGAGCAATACCAGTGGCTTTCAGACTGAAAGATATGGACCAATCACTACCAAAGAAGTCCAGAAATAGCATACCATCTTGACTGTCGGTGTCTGAAGTCACCACCAACATTTGAGTGAGAAAGCCAAGGAGAAAAACTAAACATCTGTGATGCGCTAGCCTCCTGCTCCAACTGCAGTGTCTCCAGATGCATGGGGATGCCATTGCTAATACGGCAGAGCTTCAACGCCAGAAGACTTCTTGCGAAAACAATCTGCAGAACAAGTCCGTCTCCTCGCTTCGGCAGATCAGTTGAGACCCATCGTTTGCTCCCGCAACTCCATTGTGATCACTGTCTCCAACCTCCTGCCGCAATGCACGCATGTTAAGTTTATCATGACAAGTTCTGTTGACGAAGAAGAAGTCCATGACCAAGTAAGAGCTAATAATATATCCATTATCTATTTCTTGTGGATCCATCAGGCCAACTGCTACCTAGACCGAGTCAAAAGTCAACCAACCAAGATCGAATGAGAAAGCCAAAGCAGGTGAGCTCCCATCACCGGGCGATCGTTTCTGCTTTGTGGAATTGCTGCATGTCACGTCCTTTCTTTTCTTACCATTCAAGAAAGTGTGGACCCATTAATTTATCATGTTGATGGCTTGAATGTTTCCGCGTCCACCCTCGCATCATGAACTGAATAGTTTACTAACACAACTGCTGTCAGATTCAGTGTAGGAGCCCTCAACTCTGGCCAGACATGAAAGATTCACTTCCCGATGACATGTCAAGCATCGAAGAGGACAAATATGTACAATGTACATAAAGAATTCTCCTCGAGCACTCAAACAACTGCAAAGGCATTATCTTCAGATATGAATGATATCATGTGGCAGCTCTCAGAGAAGCAAACAAATAGGGCATTTCCTGACGAAGTCCAGATTGTCTCAGAAACAGCAGCAAGGATGGTGAATAGAAGATGATCGAGTAGACACGAAGTAAGTCTGATCATGGTATCGCATATGCCGCTAGTCTTGGTTGATATTTTCCAAGATAAGGCTGTATGCTGCTGACGATGAATGCTTGCTCCGAAATTAACATGATGTATGCATTCCATACTTTTAATATTACATGTAGCAGTTTCACACTATAGAAGCACAAGGCCATTGCTTTAAGAACAATAAGTAGCCTGACTCCAAGAACCCTCTCAGGAACACAACACACATTCTCTCATAGAGAATGGTACAAACAACAGTCAGAGTCAGAACCACCCTTTTATCGTCAGATATACTTACAAGCACAAAGGGAAAACATGAATTAGATTACAACAGGAAGATATATAATTAACTCAAATCATTGCATGCCCTGCAAAGAAACCAATATTTTGATTTCTGGTATTTTGCAACATGGATTTGTTGACTATGTCATATTTCGTATATGTTTGTGCACCTAATCTGAGGTGCTAAAGTCAACCGTGCAGAAGCATGGAGTTCAGGTATGTTCTCTTTTTCTTCCATTGAACAGTAATGATGCCAAATCTCTGTCGAGTCCAGAGACCTCAGACGGTGGCACAGGAATTTGAATGTTATATAAATGAGAACTGTGACAATTATTTGTAACTAGTAAGTAAGATATATGGGAATCTCTTGCAGCTGAAACTTTCCCACTCTTCGTTCTAAGCAGTCTCAACTTCCCAGCTGGATGGTTCTCCATTCCACAAGGACCGCAGCTGTGGATAAGTATTCCACCAAACTCTCAAAATACACCAGATTGCAAATAAACTATTACCTGCAAAAACAGAAGAAAAAAAACAAAAGCTTGTGCGTGTCAGAGCCATAACACAAGGGTGCACCAACATTTACACCGTATGAAGCAAAACACCAAGGACAAATAAAAAAGAATGACTTATAGATAATCCTGTCTTTCGGTGTGTATATTAATTTGTCTCATGCTGCACTGTATCTTAAATTCAAAAATTAACATGAAGAATTTCTGCTTCATAGAAACATAATAAGTGAGGTCAAACAGGCAGTTTGACACATGAACCCACTCGATTTACTGGCTAATTCAAGCACGATGTTTAACAGAAGTGAAAATTAAATGCAGCACAACAAACAGTCATTCAGTTTATGCAATAACAGGCTTGCAGTTGTAGCTGATCCATATATAATGTCTAAAAGAATAGCTTAAAGACAACTGATCGAGCATCTTCAATGGACAAAGACCTAAAACAGGCCATTTTCTACTAAATTTATCATAAATAATTTATATTTTACACTTTAGTTGTAGCCAAGCTTTTTTTTTTTCCCCTCATGGTCCTTGATACATCATATTTTTCTCCCTTCTCATGGAGCATTTGTCGAAATATATCTATCAATCATTAAAATATAACCTATTTATTAGACAAAATAAATCTTCCAGATTAAGTAGTAACAAAAAATTTTGTTGACACAACCCAGTGACACAGTACCAACTCAAAGTCACTTATACTGTTTTTCAGATATCTTAATTTTATTTTAAAATCAGCTAGACTCAATTTGTTACCACAAAAAAAGTTCAATTTTACATATAAAAGATACATCTAACATACTGTGTGCCTATAGCTACAAGATAGACAATCTAGGATCGATGTTAAGAGACCATGACAGTTACACAGACCTAAAATGTGCAACTAAATCATCCCTGGTCCAGTATCTGCTCCATCTTATTTTCTATCATACTGCATTTGTTCCTATGTTTCACATTAACCGCCCTCAATGAATTTTAGCAAATTTGCTATTCTTCTTACAACAGTGAGGAAAGACCATAATGATTCCTCTGAATCACTATTCCTAGACACAAGAGGCATATCTTCCTAACTTAATTTCTTTTTTAACAATTTGATCAAGGCGAAGCAGACATCTCACACAAGGCATGCATAAATGACATGGAAATCAGAAATTTCACATCCATGTTGCAAGATTTAAATCGATATATAAACCATTAGTGAATGATTTTCTGACTTATTTCTTCTAGATAGAATGTTGCACTGCCTGTGTCACTAACAAATCTCAGCCCCAACTGACAAGTTAGCATTTTTATTCGTATGAAGCCGATCACTTTTGTTTGTTCTTTTATGTGTCATAGGGAGCTAACAAAGTGGTCATAGGGAGGATGACCCTGCAAGGGTCACACATGGCTTAAGCAAAAATAGAAAAGGCCGTGGGAAAAATGCACAAAAAAAAGCTAGTAGGCACAATTGATAAAGACTTAGAAGAACATTATGTGAATAACATGCATATGCAAAGAAGAAAATTACAGAATTAACATGAATATAGCTCAAGATCGTAATATAACTTGCACCGTTATATCTTCACGAAATGAAGACAAAGCCTGAAGAGGAAAGCAAAAGGAACAACCTTCGATTGATGTCAGTCTCAATCTCGAGTCTAAGTTCGCCCACACACTGCCCTATTAAGCTAAAAAGGAAAAAACAAGAAGAGGCTTGTATTTTCCCAACGAGGGTTCGCCTGAGAAGACGAACGAATCATCAAACAAAGAGAAAAGAAGTACGAAGAAATGGGAAATCATACCAAGGACATATCAAAGTCGAAATCTTTAGCATGAAAAGAACAGGATTATGACGCAAACAAGAAACCATGCGATTCGGCTCCTAAAAACAAAGAGCTTCGCCATATTCTCCTTGAATCGATAGTCAAAAGTGACTAGAAAACTAACCCACCATCACAAAAAACCCATTGAAGAAAACAACAAATTCTTGAATGGCAAAATTTTGACGGCACAAAAAAAAAAACCAAATGCATATTACCGATCCAAGAAATCGTTAAAAGCCAAATAAATTTCGAATAGACAGCAGTGAGCTGAAACAGAAATCTGCAGAGGAAGAAAAGATCGAATCTTGATGAAGGAGACCCGTCCATATGACGGTGTTATCTGTGGGCGATGCAGGCGACACCGGAACGGCGGCAACCGTGTCGAGGGTAGTGGTGCTTCTTTCCACCCCGCGAACGTTATATTGATGGTTATGAGGTAAGCTTTGTTATAAGGAACGCATTCAATGTTATAGACATTTGCACCAACTCTGAAAGAACATTGGAAGGCCTTGAAACATCATTGCACCGGCAGCAACATGATCGTATCGATAAAGAGAGTTGGAAGGCCACTAGAAAAGATTTAATCAAAAACTAAGAAACACTTTTTAAGTTTTCAAGAGCTTATGTCCCCGTTCTTGTGAGTGTCTTAATTACGTTAACATCTATATAATTACAAAAGTGAAATATTTAGATTTATTTATACTAATTATATTAGTTTTATTAATAAAAATATAAAATAAATATTAAAATATACTTTAACGTTCAATAATGGACGAGTGGTAACAGACAACGACACCATTGGCGTCGACACCGAGACAATTGTCTGCTCGTCTCCGATGATGATAAAGTCCGCTCTCACTATAATGCCACTCGCGTGCACAAGGAGCATGTCGACGCAGATGGTGATAGTCGCTTCCCATCCCCTTGCTCCCTCCACCATCTCATTCTTTTGGGAGTAGCATCCCGGAATCTCCAAATCTCTCTTCCACTCCATCGCAGCTGAGGATTCTTCTGCCCACCCCCTCCTCCCTCCCCCGATCCACTCCCACTCGAAACTCTCCACCACGTGCAAGAAGTGCTCTGTTGCCTCCCCTAACCTATTCGTGGCTACGCTCGCCCTCTACTCCAATGGCCTCCTGCATGATGACGACGATGTGGACGAGTTTTGGTTAGTGCTCGAAACTGTACCACGTAAGGTAGCGTCCATCATGTGGGAGACCATTGGAGCAACTAGGTCGATGATATACGTCACCTTTTATGGTGCAACGTTGGTCACTAACCAAAGATCATTCACATCATTGCCATCATGCAAGAGGCCATTAGAGCAAAGGACGAGCGCGATCGCGAACGGATCAAGGGAGGTGGCAGAGCGCTTATTGCATGTGGTGGAGAGTTCCGAATAGGAGTGAACTAAGGGAGGGATGGGGAGGAGGGGGTGGGTAGAGGCATCCTCAGTTACGACAAGATGGGAGAGGGATTTGGGAATTCTAGGGCAATGCTCCTGGGAGAATGGGATGACAGAAGAGCAATGGGATGGGGAGCCACCACCACCATATGCATCGACACACTCCTCGTGGAAGCAGGTGGTATTGTAGTAAGAGCAGACCTTATCAGATAGCCAGACAACTGCATCGACGTCACCATTCGCTACCACCGATGTCATCCGCTACCAAACATTAAAATTATCATTTTTATCATTTGTTTTCATATTTTCATTAATAAAACCGATATCATTAGTATAAATAAACTTAGATATTTTACTTTCATAGCTATATGGATGCTAATATAATTTTTGAATTGTAAGAACCGAAACGTTAAAGGTAACTAACTAGGTGAGGTAACATGTAATTAATCTCGTTTGCAATGATACATGTTTGATGCATATAAAGATCTCAAATGTGAGGAAGTATATACAAGAGGTAAAAGGATACAGCTTATAAGTGGATAGATACCACGATAAATGTAAATGTTAATGATATGTAATCTCAAAGACTTGAAAGTAAATAATGTATTCATAAGTTTTGACAACCACAACCATTTGAGCATATCATGATAGTATTTGTTGTGCTCGGATTTGGTAGGCTGTGGCTGCTGGATGAATTCAACAAAATAAATTTTCACCATGTTCCTAAAAACACTTGAGCTAAAATTACTAAAAATGAAGCCACTAAAAATTTTCTCCCAACAGAATCTCATTATCTAGTCAATGATTTCTTTGTCATAAAAACACAGGCTATTTAGGAAAAAAAATCACAATATGGTCTTGGCAAAGACTAACACACACAACTGCAGCAAGGCATTAGCTATCAAATGAGACAAAAAGCTCTGGCAAATTCAGAAAGAAAAGCTGATGCTCAACTGGGAAAACATCAAATATATAACAAGAAAAGTTCATCCACTGCAGCAACCAACAGGTAACTTTCAACAGATAAGCACATGGATATTCTTTTCTTAGGATTTATAGCACAATTGACCTCTATAAAGAACATGATATCAGTGTATCTTTTGTGTTATTTAGAGAATGTCTAATCCATAAATGATATAGGCGTCTGATAAGAAATTATAATGTCCTTTGATTCTCACTCATGCAATTGCACTTGAGATTTTGAAGGGTAACTAGTATATTGTCATTAATATAGAAGCCAATGATCCTATGAAATGCTTAATCCTTAGATTATCCTGGAGAGATTTACCAGGAGATGCTTAATCCTATGAAATGAAAACATATTGTTCAGAGCAAAAGTGTGCTATGATAAACCATACACATAACAGTAAATGATACTATCAGTTGTGCTGGTAATATTGTAGCCTTTATGTTTTTGGTAATCAATTAGTGCACTTGTACCCTTCTATCTATATGCATGGACAATAGAGTATTCAGATATATTTTGTAATAGGTACAAAACATCTCTGGAAATGTCAATAAGTTTCAAGGGAAGTTTGGTCTTCCTCTCTGTGTAGATTTGACCATACAAATTAAACGATCAGCAATTTCTAGAATAATAGCTAATTTATATGTCTCACCCTCAGCTAAGTCATAGAAGAATGACCGGATGATGTTAGCATTGGGAAAAGATGAAATACATTCACCAGATTAAATGCACCATACTTTGAACATAAAGAGAAACTTGTATGAAGATATTTCTAGTCATTTACAAGAAGAAAAAACCACCAACCCAAGTCAGAATATTAGGATTAACTAAACTCGTAAACAACAACAAAACAGTTCATAAATTCCCAACCAAAGACTTCTTTGGTAAGAAAAGTATAATTTCCATAAATTGATAATCAATAAATAAACAGCAATCATCTCCCAGGTTCCAGGAAGTATCTGAAAGCCAACCGTGATATGAATTGTAACAAAGAAACAGTCAACATGAATTATAATCAGTAACCAGATTCAGTGGCACTGAAAGTCAACATGAGCCATGTAACACAATTAGTTGCTATCAGAAAGTTTGCAGCATATTAAAAAAACAAAATTTCAAATCTCAGTTCTACCATTTCAAGAAGTACCATGTTCAGTAAAGGCTGTAATTTAAAGAAGAGATATAAATGTTACAGCAACAAAAGACTCTTCAATCGTGATCATGGATTCACCAATATTCTGGTGACCTAAAGTCATCACCGGGTATAGCAGTAGAATATGTTCTAGAAACATGTTGCTTTTCACTGAGCATACAAGAAAATTTTTGAATCAGAGAAAAAGCTCCCCAAGAATGAACTCCTCTGCAATATTCTTCCTAAAATTCCATGTTAGTCAACTCTGCTGCATCAATAGTAAAAAAGCAATCGTGACCAGTAAAAACAAGCTCAGTTAGTGATAACATAAGATCAAAATTTAAAGGCAACAGAATTAATGATTCCCCTTTGTTCTCTTTGCATTACTTCTGCACCAGAAAGAAGAAACAGTACAGATGCATTGTAAGATTATGATAGAACCCATATCAGACAGGGGACCAAAAATAGTGCCAAATAATTCATAAGTAGCTCAAACAAAGACTATCACAAGTTTTCTTGTTTGCTCATAACATCCAAAGACTATCACAGGCATTCTTTTCAACAGCAGGTCCATCTGATTTAATGTCGACTCAAATCATGTGCATAGACATGCTGTTTATATTATATCAGAAGAACATACAGATTCAATGACATAAAAAGAAGGTGTTGGAGAGTTTGACAAAGATTGTGACATTCCCTCTCCACAAAACTCTCAATCAAAAACCTTTTTCATGTGTAACCTGGAACTTAGAAATCTTAAAACAAGTTAGATAAAAAAAGAAAAGTTGAAGTTAGGTTAGGTCCAAATAAAATTTGAGATGAATCTTTAAGCAAATTAAAGATAAATATAATGTCAATCTTTACCGCAAACATAAACGGTTGATTAAACACATCCAATAGAAGTTTCTGCTACATTCTGGGGTAGATACGGCAATCAACCCAGTGCTACTGCCTATTTGACTTGTAGATGACATCCCCGTGTTCAACCAGTTGGTTTGAAGCACAAACAATTTAATTCTGGAAACGATGTATAAGATGGATGACTACAAACCTCGTGTAAGCGTCAAAAAGAAGAAATGTCCAATCTCCCTCCATATTCTTATCAGCAGCACATGGGGCAATGAATCAAGCCATTCTCATTGCACTCACCGCACTTCACTTTCTTCTTCTCGGAATCCAACACCTTGCAGCTGCCATTGCAGCCCATGCACATCACGAACCGCAACCCGCCGCAGCCGTCACACCACTTCGTCGCTCTTGGGAGACCCTCCAATATCAGCCCCAACTTCGCTTCTTCTTCCAGTCTCAGGACCTCCTCTGTGCCACCGACGCATCTGCCCTTGATGAAAACAACTGGGACCTTCACCTCCTTCTTCCCCATCAGCACCCGCAGCTCCTCCCTGTACCCTGAGTCCATGGAGATGTCCCTCTCCACGATATGGACGCTGTAGGACTCGAACAAGGACCTGACCGTGTTGCAGTCCTCGAAGGTCTTCCTGATTCCCCTGAGCGTGGTGGTGTACAGGACCACGATGTTCTCCCCTCCTCTGGGGCACTTCTCCTCGTAGGACTGAAGCAAAAGAACGGAATCGCAGACCTTACCTTGCACCACCTTCTTGGTCTGCTCACCTTCCTGGTGGTGTTCTTTCTCGAAGAAAGCGACAAGCTCCGGATCGAACAAGGGAACCAGACTCCGCCTAGACCTCGAATTACCGGAATCCCTCTCCGATTTCTTGCTCCCTGTGCTGTTTGGAGTGCATTTCTTCGAGATAGCCGAGGCAAGGCCGGCCCAAGGTGTGTTGTCTAAGGAACGGAAGGCTTTCGAGATACGGTGGGCGTCAAGATCCGACCTTTTGGGCTCCGACCGCAGTGGGGTGTTCTCCTTGCCGGCGAACCACCTCCTTGGCATGACAGGCGAAAACACAGCCCTCACCGCTGGCGACCGGTGAGCGGTCGGGGATGGTTTCAGCGGCCTCTTCCTCTGCGACGGGGACCGGCTGGGGGTCTCGTCGGCGAGGTCCCCCATTAGCTCCCGCGCGTCGATGACCTCGGAGGGGCGCTCCTCCTCCGCCACGGTCCTCTTTTCATCGAGATGGGGAGAGGGAGACGGCCGCCCCCGCTCCACCTTCGTGGCTGCTTCCGGTTCGACTTCCGTCCCTGCAGGCGCATCCGGGATGCTGGCTCCATCGTCGCCGCGGTCGAGGCTGAGGGCGCCGTAGGTGGTGGAGGTGAGGGAGACGAAGTGGTTGGGGCAGTCGCCGGCCGTGGGGTTGGCGTCGCCGGAGAATAGGAGCTCCTCGCCGAGGTCAGCGGCGGCAAGGAGTTTGGAGGAGATGCAGCCCATTTGATTCGCCTGCTCTGCCTCCTCTTCCGCTTCGCCTTCTCTTGAAGCGAGAAGAAAAGCGTACGGTTGGAGTGTTGTGGGTTTGAAATGTGAACGGTTCGGGAGTGGCGCTCGCCGTCTCTCGTTGCTCTAAGACACTCTTCTGTTCGGTACCCGATCCTATACCCCGAAGGAGCTTTGAGGAAACCATCTGGACCCACTGCTTATCTCCAGTGTGCCAGCGAAGCCTGAGATCGGGTGAAGCTAGTGGAGGTAGAGAAATTATCCACCCTGCTTGGCCGATACCCGAAATGTTTACTCGGAAAGCTTTGCGGAACTCATATGGACCCCAGCATTTAGATCGAATAGACTAGCGATGCGTCGAATCGGGTAAAAACGAGGGGGCTGGGAAAGTTATTGCTTCCGCTGCAATAATAATGTCTTCCAACGGTCTCTTTCGAATCCCAATAAATGGGCTTTGGAGATATCTCATTTGGGCGCTCTCTTTTAAGGCCCAACAGTCACTCGTTTTAAACTATAAGCCACACTAAATAATATTAATAACAATAATTACCAATAATAATACATAAGATTCTATCGAAGCTAAATGTAATTTCTTAAAAAAAAATAAATATTATGGATAAAATCAAATGAAGACAGGTGTCGATTCATATGCTAATGAAAATTGATTCAAAATGCTTAAGCATAAAATAACAATCTCTTATGAGTTAATTAAAATCTTAGCCATGAAAGAATAATTCATAGTGTTATAGTCTTTCTCGCTTCGTATTACGTTATCTCTCAGGTTTTAATAGTATGAGTAAATCATAGCATCACAATTTTTCTTATTTAAATGTATTAGATCAACTCTGATGATTTGATTAGATTATATAACTAACTTATTAACTTTGTTAAATCTAAATCATTGATTTAAAATATTTAAATCTAAATTAATAGTAATACATTGTGTATCATCTTATATATCATTTTAAGTTTTAGATTTGATGTGCAATTAAATTGAGATATTACAGCTTATATAAAAAATTAATATTTTACTCGAGGAATATATATATATATATATACTTTGTTCAAATCAGATTCAAATATTCAAGTAAAAAACTCATTTTTCGATAAACTATCACAAAATGAATAATCCTATCAAGAGAATATTTTTTTATCTTTTAATTGATGTAATAATAATAATAATAATAGTAATAATAATAGGATGTGATCCAAATCAATGAGTTGTTACACCTACTAACAAGTAACAAGAAAAAGTCCACCAACCCATCCAATTGCATATAGGACCACAAATAATATGTTTTATACTTGTAATGATCTAATTAGCTAATTGATATTTTAATCAAACACATTAATATCTTAAATTTTATTGTCATTTCATCACCTAATTGCTACATTATATGCATCTTCTCTTCCTAACTTGTGTTTGTCATTTCCCTGAAATCAAGGAGAAGGGTTGACAAAGGCTTGTTGGCTATTAATGCTGTGGCTTTCTTTAGAAATGGAATGACATCAACACTTCATGAATACAAAAAATGAAATTAAGTATTAAATTGACATAAAACAACAAAAATAAATCTTTTTGTGGATTTTTCATCAACAACCAGCATAGTAAAAGAAAAACAAACACAACTAGATAAGCAGATGAACTAAACAAATAATTATTACATTATAGAATATACTTTATATAAAGAATATTATCGATCAATCATCATTCTCCTCATATGACTAGAAAAAGAAGAAAAAATTATCTCTCATTGATCTATCTACGTGGATATTGGTTAAAGACAAATAATTTATAGGCTATCTTCATCTAGATAATATATATAAAAAAGAAATCAAATCAAGATAGTTAAGGATAGTTAAAACATGTCTTCAAACAATATTATACATAATATATCGTTTCTATATTATTATGTATAAAAGTTTACTTTTTAATATAGTCAAAAAGTTATTTTTTATTGACAACTGTACTTAATTATTTCGGATTACTAAATCGAGCATCATATAATCAATTCAAGAAATCTCTCTCAAACTCTTGGAGAGCTCGATGTTTTCATTTTCAATGATATTCTCAGAAATTTGATATTTTCACCTTAAATATATCTTAGATAATCCTATGTATAAAGTCCAAATCACATTTAGCTAATTTGACGTTAATAACATCTTTCCCTAACAAAAGCAAAAGTTCCTTACCAATTAAATATAACTAGATAAATTATTTTACAATTTGGACATGTTATCAAGATAGGTTGGGTGATATTCAGAACCTAATATCTACTCTCACATACTGTCATATTACTCATTTGTTGTAGAGGCATGAAGCAATCAGCTAACTGTGTTGTTAGGTTGGATGTGGCACCATGGTTCTATTTTTTTTTCTTTTGAAGGAGTTTATTCCTTCATATTTAGCTTCAATTTTGGACAATATCACATTTCATAGGACACAAGCAATAATATAATTTTCTTTTGATAAAAACATGCATGTGAATAATTAATATGAGAATTATCTATCAGAAAAGAGAGAGAGAGAGAGAGAGAGAGAGAGAGATATATATATATATATATATATATATATATATATATATATATATATATATATATATATATATATATATGATTTGGGGCCCATTTGAAGAAAGTGTAATCCAAGAAAAAGATGGTTTCACATTGACAAAGAGGTATAAAAAAAGGGAGGAGTGAAGAAAAAGCTTAAAGGGGTGGGAAAAGAGAGGCGGCTCAGTAATGGGGGGCGCTGACTTGTTGACTTAGAAAGGAAGCCTTTGGGTCCTGTTTGATGATCTATCTAGTGAAGTAACGAAGGTGTCTATTATTTTAGTTGATACAAAAAATTTGATGATTTTTAATATAATTTTTTGGGTTTAAAATTTTTCTTTATTAGTTATCCTTTAAAATACAAAATAAAATAAGTTTATTTTTTAGTATTTATTGAATATTCTTTTTCGTACAGATATTTTACTTGTGAAATGGTGGTGATAGTACAACAAAGTCAACTTTGATCGTCAATTCGATTTCGCTCATGCATTCTGTTCACATCTTCTCCATTAGTTACTTGGACACCGCGCATGAGGTCGAAAGTAGGTTGACTCACTCCTCTACAAGTGATTGGACGAATCCGCTAAGCTCTCGAACATTCATGCAGTACATAAATCGTGACAACCTCTACGTACTCTGGTCAACATTGGACCTCGTGGTGATGAATCAGAGATGCAATGGTCAAAATTGGACCAGTCGGGGATCAGGACGAAGATGACGCGACGAAAGCGACGGATTAGAGTCACAGATCGTCGGAAAACCTGTGTGCTCCGCCGAGAACAGAGCAGTAGGTTTTGCACTCCCGTGGTGACTCACGTAGAAGAAGAAACCGGACCACGCTACGTCTCATGCCTGCCTGCACCCGTTTCTAGAATGGAATGGGGATTAGTCGAGTAATATATTATATATACTTATTATATTTTATCTAAAAAATAAAAAAGCCATCCGCAGGTATTACGTAAATGAGGGTATATATATATATATATATATCCGTACGTGAAGATCAAATCGGATTTGCATGAATTATTGAGTCAAAAGGAGGGGGGGTTATGGGGAGACATTCACGAAAATACCCTTGGCGTCTTTAAGACACCGTCTTCGCTCCACCTCTCGCCGCCAACGTTTCGTCGTCTTCTTCTCCTGTTGCTGTGGTTGTATTGGAATCGTCTTGATCGGCCATGCCGCAAGTAAAAGATCTTGAAGCCCTCGTGTGTGGCGGCGGGGAAACCAAGGTGGCCTGCGAGACCCAGATCGGGGCCGATGACCCGGACCTCCCGCCGGAGTCTATCTTGGTGCGGATCGGCAGCGGACGCGAGCTGTTCTGGGCAGAGGTGGGCGGCGCCGCCGTCTACGAGCGCGACGACTCGACCAAGGGGAACACGAACCCGAAGGCGCAGGCGCAGCAGCAGCACGCCAACCCCGCCTCCAGGCCCCGATCCAATTCGCAGCGTTTCTCCGGCGGCCTCCAGGCGAAGCCCCCCATCATCGGAATCCCCGGGAAGATCCAGCACCACTCCGGGTACCTCGGCCGCAGCGGCCGCCGTCCCGCCAACGCCCCCATCTTCCCCAAGAAACCTCCTCGCCCCGACCGCGGCGGAGAGGGCCGCAAGTCCGCGCTGCCCGACGAAGAGCCGGGTTCGCCCAAGGTGTCCTGCATCGGAAAGGTCCTGTCCGAGAGGGAACGGGACCGGTACCGGAGGCAGTGCCGCGGACCGCCGGAGCAAGAGGAGGAGGCGGCGGCACCTTCCGGCTGTTGGGCGATGTTCTTCTGCGGTGGGACAAAGCAGCGGCGTAGGAGCGCCGCGTCGGAGACCGTGCCGGTGGATTCGCCGGCCAAGGCGGCGGTGGATAGGAGGACGGCGGCGGAGCCACGGCGGTTGGAGGTGCCGGGGCTAGGATCGATGATGCGGTTCGCGTCGGGGCGGCGGCCGGCGTCGTGGGGCGGGGACGGGGACGTGTCGGTCGACCTGGGGCCGTTGGATGGGGAGGCGACGGAGCTGGGCGGGCGGCGGTCGTTGGGGTCGCGGGAAGACGCGGAGCGGTAGCGGTAATACCGGCCTCTCCCTCGCAGGATTCTGATGCTGTTTCTGTTTCTGTTTCTGTTTCTGTTTCTGTTTCTCTCTACGCCCCGCACGCAATGGTTGATACGTAGTGCTGTTTTTGTTTTCTGTTTTTGTTGTGTGCTTTTGGTTTGTTGTTGTTGTCCCCTATTTCGGCGGTATTTAGTGTGGGGGGGGATTGTAAATACGCGGACAGACGCGTGGCTTCCCCTGTTTTGCTGCTTGCTTCATGTAATATAATGATACTTGTCTCAATCTTACATTTGTTGGGAGTTTCTTTTTACTTGGAATCAACGTCAATCAATTAAGAAAGAAGACAAAATCGTGAGTTATCTCAGAACTATTCCAGGATGAAATGAGATGAGATGAGATTTCAAGGCTCAAACAAGTTGTGGCCTGTCGGTAGATTGCATTCTTGTGGTTTTAGCTTATCATCTATATAAAATATTTGAAATACCGAAACCATTCTGCGACACAAACACTAACAATACTAAAACGTAATTCATTTTTCATTAAATTAAACTAAAAATTAGAAAAATTCAATGGTGTAATTATTTATATTATATTATATTTTTCTTCGATTGTCAAAGTGTGATGTGAGTCGGACAAACATATTCCAAATTGGACTACTAAGACCTCTAAAATAAGGAAAATTTGAAATGAATAATGAAGAAATTATTGATATTATATTTTTCTTTAATAGTTGAAGTCCGAGTTGAGCTGCACAAACTTTACAGTGTTAAGCTCGTAAATGAATTGTGTTATACTCCATTGTAGAATTAAGCATGACACAATTCTTGGAATCTTAATCAAGTATAACCTAGCAATATTAAAAAATTATTCTGTAATTTTTTATTAATTTTTACACACCCTTTTCTCTGGTGATCGAGACATGTGTTACAAAGTACCCTACCCAAATCTCTCTGGAGAAGATGCCACGCTACGTGAACTAAAAAGACTAAATGGAGAAGATGACAAACGCAGGCAGATGAACGCAATGACTAGATAAGACGTCTCCAGCAGTGATAGGAACACAATTTGGTGGTGTAGGCATCAAAGGAGAGGAATATGAGCACAGGTAGGAGACCATAATGCAACTACTTCCAACTACATTGAGCAAGTATCACTCGCTGCATATTGAAATCAATTATTGTCGAATCTTAGATTTCATATAAAACCAAATCAAAGATGGGAAGAGACAAATGTAAAAGGCAAACTCAACTAACGTGATTGGAGGTTGGAAATACAGGATAATGGATCATATGATCAATGATTCGAAGATGAGGATATGCTTAATACCAACTAAAGTGAACTGTGAAATGAAATATACCATAAAATTGATGGAAATCACAGCATCAAAGCAATTCCTGTAGCTTTCATCATAATAAAAGCTGAATGTTCACCTCAAAAGTAGCAAAGCACATTCATAAGTTATTTTTCGGCAAAATGACAGATAAAGCAATTCACCATTCAAAGCTACATAACTGTTTATAACGACCAAACTACGTCCCAAAACCACTGGGAATGAACTTGATGCAGATGAAGTTGATGAACTACAGTCTCCTTCCTCTTCTTCCACCCTTTCTGCGGGTGCTGTCTGTTGGAATCGGAGTTACATCCTCTGCAACCGAGAGAACAAACTCACTTTAGAATAGTAAAGACTTGCAAGTAGCAACAATCATCAAGAAAAGAGCTTGTTATGGTCTGACAAATGATATGCTACCCCGGAGAGGTGTATATATGCAGTGTGTAAAGAAGGCACTTCGCTGATTTCATACACACAAAGCATTTCTTTATCAAGAGTTAATCCATGTTACTCCTGCATACTTTGGTACGCCGGACCAACACTTTCACTTTAGTTAATTAGGCACCAGCAGAATCAGCATGGTGTAGTTGATATGGAAGACATTGAAGGAAGATTTCCAACATATACAACATAGTAACAGTGTGCAGTGATGCTTATGGCATACCAATAAGGGTTTACCCACCAAGTATGCAGAAGCATTTTCTGACAATTAAATAACTTCAGGTAAATCAATCTGACAAATTTGAACATCCAAATCAGCATGACTTGTCCGTTGAAATTATATTCTACATCCAAATTAAATATTTATGCAATAGCTCTCAAATTTAATAACTGATTTTAGTGATAATATAAAAGAAATGGAACATGTTCAAGTATTGAATATCACATCTACCATACTCCTAAACATTAGAAATAGTAGAAAGAGAAATAAGAAAAAACATACATTGGAGGTGCTTGCATTTTCATGATATGTGAAACACATGAGCTAATAGATTTCCCATGCATGGCAGTGCCACACAGAGGATGCAAATAGTGAAAGAGATCTGGCAATATATGCATTTGTACAGCATACATGGCTAACATAGACTATATTTACGTAACACCAACAAGTAGTTTGAAAAAAATGATACCACAATAATAAGATTTCTGAGTATATACCATATCAGCAATATTTGTAGTACGTACCCTTTTTAAAATCATGTTTTTGTACCAATAATAATTCACACTTAACTACCAACATATAGAAAAGTATCTCCCAATTCACGAATACACAATGAAAAGTGAAACCCACTAAAATTACTTCTGATAAGTTGCAAATTTAATTTTTTAAGGTGCAAAAGAATTTCTTGCATAATATTAGAAGGCATACATCAAGAACCAATTAAGGTTTCAGAACAAACACAAGTACATGTGAAAGCAAAAAATCTTAGCTGATAAGAGTCTATGACTTTATGCTAATCCAATATGTTAATTGTAAATTGTTCACTGCAGTTCCATCTACTCATCTAGTGACACGTAACAGTCCAAAAAATCAATTCAAACAATAACATGTCTTGAATAGAATCATAATCAGTCCCAAGTTTCCGGATGAAACCAAAAGTCATAATACATAGTTATACAAATTACTGAGGGAAGGTCGACAGCAACAGTTTTGCCCAAGTATGAAAAGGATTATGGAGACCCTTCAACAGTCACGAATCACAAAAATCAAAACTTCTCGACACTCATAGCCACTACATAATTTACAAAAGCCCAAATCAGAGGAACCCCCCCCCAAAAATGATGACAATGGCATCTCAAGCATTAAATTCATTTACACATTTACACAGTTACATAGAATTTTCCTACACAACTGCAAGCATCACATAGATTGTAAACAACAAACTGCCAAATCAATATTGGCACAACTAATACTGAGGCTATAAATGTCTTTAGAAACAGCAAACATCTTACATAGCAAGAAATGCCAAACCAGTTGATATAACAATTGAGGCACACAACAGGAAACAGAGACAGTTTTAAGCAGTAAAATAAGACTTACCAATACGCCCAATTTTCATTCCAGAGCGAGCAAGTGCCCTGAGAGCAGACTGAGCACCAGGCCCAGGCGTTTTTGTCTTATTCCCACCAGTAGCCCGCAACTTAATGTGCAAAGCAGTAATCCCCAATTCCTATGGAAGTTACGGATAACAAAAGATATATCAACACACAGCTATTGAGATATCAAAAAATCAGAAATTAAAGTGGCTAAATGGAAGACCTTGCATCTCTGTGCAACATCTTGTGCTGCAAGCATGGCTGCATATGGAGATGATTCATCCCTGTCAGCTTTGACCTTCATACCACCTGCAAGCACCAAAACATCAGTCTTATAGAACCCTTTATCCAATAAAAATAAAATATTACACAATCAGAAATAAGAAGAGAGAAAGGGGGAAGCAGGAAGAATATTAGAGACCTATCAGATGTGTCCATGCATGTCAGTAGAAGAAAATGTTCTACAATAGGATATCCAAGATTGGCGATCAACAGAGACAGTATTAATCAAGCATTGTTCACTGTACCCATTACATTCTACACACGGTTACAGATTCAGAAAATATTTTATGCACAATGTTTAATGTTATCACGGTCACAAATTGTTCAAAGTATCCGTTGCACTCTACACATTGTTACTGTATAAGCCTCCCAAAAGAAAAACAAAAAAGAAAACAATTGAAGATCCTTTTCTAAATAGGAGGTCCTCCCGTGAACTGCTAAATTACCCATAAAATCATCTAAATAGGAGTTCCTTCAGTGAACTGCTGAATTACTAAAAGAATCATAAATGAACTTTGACAAGAGACACATTTCTTAGTTATGCTACATCAGAAAGATTCAATTTCAATCAGAATGTATTCCTCTCCCAAGATACAGGCACTTCATAAGATCATTAGCAAGAGATCTTCACTGAATCACAATAGATGAGCAGCAAAAGTAATGCTGCTCAACTACAGAGTGATTGAGAAATATCAAATGCCAATTAAAAGTGGGCCCGAAATTTGAATGGAGTAAGAACAGGTCCCAAGGAAAAACTCCTTGCAACCACAACATTGATATGGCGTGGTTATGACTCAAAACGCTTCCATAAAGTAAAAGGAAGGCGATCTTAAGGGCCACGCGTAGGATATCAAGCACATACATCAAATTGCATGAACAAATGCAGATATAAAATTCAAGCATTCAAATGGAGTGGTGCATGCCAAGCATATGAAGGAAGTCTGATATTAGTTTTCCAACAAAATTTAATCGCAAAACAAGTATCCCTGACTATTCAATTATCACTTCATATTTACGACTGCCCATCTTACATAATGTATCCAAAACAACTATTAATTTTATCACGATGGTTTTTAGGTGTACCACATGCCACAGCTAAACCTAAAACAACAATCCATTTAGATTACACAGCACGAGATAGTCATGCTACCAAAAAAATCAAGCCAAATTGCTAATATAATGATGCGGGAGAAAGCTTCATATGATCTCATCCCATGCACAGAATTACAGGAATTTAGAAGAAACCTGTAATACGAACGAGTGTTTCCCTCCCAGACAAATCTGTAACATGCTGCAGGTCAAACAAAAAATAACAAGTTCTTGACGCACAAGAAATCATATGCATTCTATAGAAAAAGAAACCAATTGTATCTTACAATGAAAGTATCATTGAACGACGCAAAGATGTGAGCAACACCAAACACTTGCTCCCCTTCCCGTACGGCTGGCCCAAGCGTCACATTGTCTTCTTTGGGCTCCCTAGTCTTCTTTCTTCCGGACTGCAGATCCATAAACTCAATTAACCAGCTGAATCTAAAATTAGATCAGAGAAGAACAGAGCATACAAGTTCTTATATGCATAAACACGTCTAAATGTCAGCACAAATACACAATTATCCATCAAAAACAATAATCCATAGTCTAAAGATGAAACATTGTAACATCTACAAGATCCAATGACACGATGCAACCATCAAAACAGGTCAAAAACAAAGCTGGAGAAACAAGAACTAGAACCTGCACTTCATTCAAAGAGAAAAGAGCAAGAAAAAACAAGTTGAGATCTCTGGAAGAACTGGAGCAAGGCCACAACTCGGATCGCTTACCATGGTTGAAGCACGGGAGGCGAGGGTGAGGGCGACGGCGAGAAGTACGGAGAACGAGAGACGAAAACCCTAACTCGCCACCGCATTTTATAGCGCTCCCAGCGGCTCGTGGTGCCCCGAATTACTATAATACCCCCATCAATGGGCCATTGGACTTAATTTTGGATGGGCTTTAGCAGTTTAATTGATCTCATTATTTCATTTAAACGACGCGTAATTTATATTCATCTGTTAATTTCATTAAGAAAAGTTGCACATGAAGATGTTTATATATTCCGTGTATAACACTCCAGACAATATTTTGGTCTAAAATATATATAGTTAATATAAGTTGGTTTGAGCTAAAAATATATAGAATTACAAAATATTTAACTACTTGGATGAATTTTTGAAAAAAAAACCTTGTATATTTGATAAATTTTCAGTGTCCCAATTTTAAAAATTATCATAGAATATTTTTTATTAATGATTTATTTTTACCTCAGCTCGAACTGCCTATACGTCTATTACATTGCCACCTTATACCACCTGCCCTGCTCATGCGAGGGTCGTCGCCACCTTGTACCACTTGCCCTGCTCATGCGAGGGCCATCATTGTTGCTTGTGCACTTGCTCGTGTGACAATTATCGCTATAGAATCCCCTCTCCTTTCACACGTGAGGGCAAGGCGATTAGGGGCGATGTAATGCAGGCATAGGGTAGCGATATAGGAGTAAAATAATCTTTTTATATGATCAAAGGTACTATGCTAGAGTTTTTAGGAATTCACTCTAACTACTTTTAATACCCTTTTTAAGGTTAATGGATTAAAATAAATTTTTCCCTCAAAATATTAAGCTTTATTTTGAAAATTTTTAAAAAATAATTTAAACTTTTACGAGAGATGTAGGATTTAGAACTATAATATTCAAATCAATTTTTTAATCTAAGATGGAATGTTGATTCAGAGCCAACTGAGACTGTCTGCTTTTATCTTAGTTTAATCTTGACTAATAATTTTTTGATCTGACTTTTAGATCATTAAACAATATAAAATTATATCATGGGCGTTCATGACAAATGCCCTTCTTATGCTTAAATTATAAGAATAGTATTTAATTATGATATGGAAATGCATGTGGGAACCTTTTTAACAACAGGCTCGTAAAGCTATTTAAACTCATAACTAGTATCGATTATATGAAGTAATTACGTGTCTATATTAGGCTCGTGATTATGTCACATGTGAATCCATAATACGATAATAGTCTCACTAATTTGGTTATATGATATCAATACGTCATTCACGTCACGTTAAAATGTTAAACACGTGTTGATTGCGTGTTCTTGGGATATCGGATCACATATCTACCATATAGTGCTGAAGTATCCGATAAGCGTCGAGCATACGGTGTTAGGATGTCGATCACCTGATATTGAGGTGTCAATCAAATGCTTACTGAAGTATAGCCACATCATCGTTCCATATCAATCTTAAATACTTTAGATATTTTTTTTTTCAAGATCAAGGAATTAATATATATTCGCTCTCTAAGTATTTAGCTTTGTCTCAGCAAAATAAACAAAAATTATAAAAGAAAATTGACAGCTATGGAAAAAAAATATTATATCTCAATATTGAGCTTTGTTTAGGAAAAAATATAAAATATACTAAACAATAATTACGTGTCTCTATTAGGTTCGATCGTGATTATATCACATGTGAATTCATAATATGATAATAGTCACGTATCCACCACATGGTGCTGAAGTATTCGATGAATATCGAGCATATGATGTTAGAATATTGATCATGAGGTGTCAATCAAATATTTACTGAAGTATAGCCACATTATCGTTCCATATCAATCTTAAATACTTTAGATATTTTTTTTAAGATCAAGGAATTAATATATATTCTCTCTCTAAGTATTTAGCTTTGTCTCAGCAAAATAAACAAAAATTATAAAAGAAAATTGACAGCTATGGAAAAATATATTATATCTCAATATTGAGCTTTGTTTAGGAAAAAACATAAAACATACTAAACATTAATTACGATGACAGCTGTAGGATTTGAACCCACGCCCTTTCGGACCAGAGCCTAAATCTGGCGCCTTAGACCACTCGGCCAAACTGTCACTTGTTATTGATGGTGTCTACAAGAGTTATATCATTTAATAAGACATCCGTCGAGAACAACACAACAATAATATATTAAGAAATATTAATGTGAACATATTCTTCTCCATTGTTCTTCCTTGATATAAGCTTCGGTACAGAGAATTACCACACTGTTATGGCCTGTCAGTTTTCCCTTTCAATTATTTAAAGTCTATCATCCATTCATATTCTGAACTTAAGACACGAGCGACAAAGAAATAAACAAGTTTGAAAAAGCTCCGATCGACAATAATCCATAAGGACCGATAGGATCTGTTCAAATAATCTATCATGAACTATTATCCATGGAGGTCGAGAGGCCCAAATCACCCCTATGTTGTTGTCTAGATTCAATCATTTCTTTTCACGTCAATGTCTCTAAGGTGATTATCTGATGAGCAGGATTGGTTATCAACAGTCATGTCTAAAGAGTTTGGAGCACTAAAATACAAGGTTTTGAGAAAAATGATGAGCCATCATGTCTAAAGAGTCCACCTAAAATCTTCCATCATGCAATGCAAAGCACCACAACAGTCCAATGCCAATAAACTGTTGATTTGCATCTTCAACATTGTGGAACTCTCATATTTTATGCAGATGCAATCACATAAAGATGACTGACTGATACATAACATCAACTTCTCCCCTTGTGTATCGATCTGCACTAGTACAAGACGGCCAGCTATAATTTGATGTGGTAACCTTGCAGAAGCTCAAATGCTGGAATATTGAAGGAAGGTGATGAGCCTTGTTCTTATCATCCCTCCCTCAATGTAATGCCTTGTCAGATGGTAACCTCAAAACTCCTCCACAGCTGATCGAGATCCATGAACACTATCTCCGGGTTTAAGGTTTACCTGTGCGTTTCTGCCGTCTTCCTTGAGATTGCTTCGACTTCATCAGCTGCTTCCTCGTCTTCCTTGCCTCCGTTGCCGCCATCACCGACACCATGCTCGATAAGTTACGAGGGAGGCAAGTGAAAGCACCATGGAGTTTCTCCGGCAGACCTTTGCCTCCATGTGAAGAGCCTCTAAGGACCGGTTCTCCGGTAGTCGCTAACGAAGTGTTCTCCTTCACATCGCTGCCATGGAGAGGAACTCTTTCTCTGTGGTACGGTCTCCTACAAGACTGCATCAGTACATGACGCTTACTGGCAATGTCTCCGACATCGTCGTTTCCGAATGCATGAAAACATGGTGCTGATCTTGAGACTTGGTGATGAAATGGATAAGACCAAGCGCAAGGCCGCATGAAATGAGGCGGCATTGATCCACCATTTGGATTCACTTGCCCAAAAGTGAGGGAAGGCCGAGAAGGATACATGAATGGTACCATAGGCGATTTCCCGTATACGAAAGGGTGGTGCTTGATTGTTGAGGACGATGGTGACTCCATCACTGCGGATGCAGCCATCTGAAACCTCTCTGTCTCAGCAATCTAAACAAGCAGGAGAAAGTTCTCATTTCCATCCCACTAATTCAGCTTGGTGCAGTTGAGATAGATTTAGTTGCAGATGTCAAACCTGCTCTTTTAGGTGTTCGTTTGCGCCCTTAAGTGAAAGGTACTCTTTCGCAGCCAAGTCCTTCTCCTACAATCAACTCCATAGTATCAATCGGAATCACTCAAAGTTGATCACTGCATCAACAAAACAGTTGGGGAGGTCAAATCTCATACTCTGCTTACCATCTTCATGTTCTCATTCTGCAATGACAAATCAGCAACTCTTCTCTTCAGCTCCTTCCTGAGGGCCTAAAAACAGGTCACACAAAGCATAAATCACAAGAATTATACAAGAGAAAACACATCACGAAATCTCACCTGCCGCCGAAGGATGGTCTGCCGAGCTGACTCTCTATTAGCTAACACCCTGGGCAATCTCCTTTCTTCCTTCTCGGCCTGCTAAGAAAGCTGAGATTTCAGTGTAGTTATCAAGAGGATCATAGCAGATGGGATACAGAAACTTCTACCTCAGTCGATCTCTGTTTCGCTCTGCTACCATTCGGGAAAGAGTGATCACTGGGAAGCTTGATCCTTGATGCAACCGATTCAAAATCTTGTTTGATCTGTGCTCGTTCTTCCACTTCATTGTCTGCAGCAGTGTGACTTCCACCACAATTGCAACCAGCACTTGTATCCTTTAGCAAAGGCATTCATGAGAGCACCACAAACTTTGTGAGTTATACATTCAATGAATACTAACCCATTCCGTATATGTACATCAGCAGTAATCATATTCACTATACCCAGCATTCTTATGCAGGAAAGAATAATAAAGGAAACGAAAGTTGCAAAGAAGACTGATTCAAGTTCAAGTCTGTTCATTTGGAATGACAACATTATGAAGAATCATCATAGCACAGCAATAACAAAGCTGAATAAAGTAACAGAGTACTGGATGCAAATGAACTCTGTTCCTTGAACTCCATCCCTCCATAGCCTTCTTTCCTATGAGAAAAGTTTTTGCTGATTTTTAAGATTCTTACCTTTTGCATTGGTGTCGGCGTAACCAAGTCGGGCCTTTATGTTCCATACATGAACATATGCAAGAACGAAGTTCTCAATATAAAGATAAACACCTGACATGGGCTTAGAAGAAGATGAATGTTCCCTTACTCCACGAAGTGAACTCTCTTCCCGACCCTGCAAGCTCTTCTTTTGAAGCCTACCAGGCAACTCGCTCGTGCGCCGCTTCCTGGAGATGCTCCCGTTGCCGCTCTCGCTTGCGGGGTCCCACACCGCCTCGACCTCCGTCTCCACCATCCCTCGACCCATTCGACGAAAGAGGAGGAGAAGCAATGAGACCGCTCCCTCGCCTTATTATGCATGGCCAGCTCGGAGGAAACTGGAAGTATACTGTTGGAGGCGGCGCCACGCGGCGCTGCCACCTGGAGCGTTAACCAGGTGACCTTGAGCAAGGTCTCGTCCGTCGCAGGCCGCGCGTGGGTCGATATACCTGAAGAGGCGACGCGAGCGCGCAGGGAGCGGTGCATCGCAATGCGTGCTGTAATGGCCTTCGTGTGCCAGACACGTGGACGTCTAGTTGTCGACGGCTTAGCTGCCGCCGCATGCCACGTAAGCATTGATCACCTTGTTTGACTTGCTTGTGGCTGCCAGGCCCGACACGTGTATGCCACCGATGAGTCGCCGAAGTCCGATCTGCTGACGCGGTCGACTAAACTCGTGCCGCATCACCCGCCACCGAAGCCACGTGTCAAGGCGTGGCGCAAATTAAAACCGCGGCTTCGCCCCCATCGCTTCGGCCTTTGCATTCTCGGAACCATCCAAGAAATTTGTCCAATCTGTTCCCTAATTCAGTATTACAAATTATGTCTTCTTAAGTTCGTCCTAAATTTGATTATTTGACATCTAATCCAGTTTAAATAGGAGAACAAGGGACCATCATCTCTTGAGATCATCCTGAGAACCACCTTGAGAAGAGAGTAATCACACATTAAGAATGAAGACAGCAAACCTCAACCAACCATCTTAAGCGATGTGGACTACGAAAGTCGACTATAAAACCATTTGTAAAGATAAGTTGCAGTTACCAGCACAAAGACCATAACAAATTCATTTATCCATGAGTCTGAGCTAGCTTATGAATCAACAGCCAACAGGATATAAATCCGCATGCAATATCTAAGGGCAATTTTAAAGCAGACATGAATTTATGATGCTTGGTGCATAAAACAAGCAACCTGAGGAGGAAATAATGATGTCACCCTTGCAATTTCACACGTAAAATCCCTGGAAAAACGAAAACCAGTAACTTCCAACCATGAATGCTGGCAAAATTTTTCCTGATGTTACTGGAGAATGATTCAATTTCCCCGACTGAGGCTAATCTACAATTTTCTTCAGCTATTCTGCTCCTGGTCAAGTCTCCTGCGTGAAAATTAACAAAACCCTACGAACTCAAGCTGCTTTGGCCTTTCGAGATGGAGGTCGCCGGAACATGTTAATAAGATCATCGAGGCCCTGACAAAACAGTCGACCACTGTTGGCATACTGAAAGTGGTATAAATGCTGATCCTACCCAGAGAAGAAAAGTAAGCATAATTACCCGTGTTGTGATGACAAGGAAGCTGAAGAGGAGAATTAGATAAGAACCCAGTGCTAGAAGTAAAAGAAGGTCAAACGTAACACTTGCAACCTGCAATCAACCAACATGATTTCCGGTTAGTCTGTCATTGTTTGGTTGAAAGGAAAAACTATTCTGAGACTACAGCTGAATGATGTAATTCGAGGCAAAGGAGCATTTGCATTGGACTGGTGCAGCAATTTAAGAAATTTCTATTCACAATCATAAGTAATTAGTGATGTTACACAAAAGTGAAGAAAGGAATGATGGCTTGTCACCACATAACAGCAAATGGAAGACAGAAGATAGTAAAAATATAGTTTAGTGAAAGTTCAAGAAAATGTTCTTGATCACCTGATATATGTTAAGGGTTGCCCGTGTAGAGTCATAAAAGCTAAACATCCCATCAATGCTCTCATGCTGCAGATGCACTTCGTCCGTATGATCAGACAATTCCTGCAACCAATAATAATATTATTATGTATTATAGAAGATATAAACAAGAACCCCTTATGAATATACACACACAACCCAACCCAACACCTTCACTCCAAATGAAATATTTAGCCACAGGATAACTTGGCAGAATGGCATAGGAACATTTGTAATGATTACTTCGGTTGATAAGCTTTCTGATGGCTATTTTATCTAATAAATATAAATTATATCCACAGGATGCAGTTATACAGCAGATATACATGCTTCTCAATTGCATGCATAACAAGTAAAAATGAAAGTCAAATTTTTAGATTTAAATGGATGTTTTGTATCATTTTCCACTCAAGGATTTAAATCTCTATCCAGTACCAATGTGGAAAATTTACTGGACTGAGCGGTACATCAACTTGTTTCACATGGTATCATTGAATAAAATAATATCAACAACAACAACAACAACAACAACAAAACTATGAAACAAAATAATAAAAAATAAAAAAAGAATGATATTGTACTGATATCAGATTATATGCTTCAATACTGGCACTTGATCAGACCAGTAAATAACAGTTAGTACCAATCAGTACTGTCAAGATTTGAGTCCATGCTTTCACTATCATGATCCTGAAAACAGGGACAGATTGAAGATTTGTCCTCAAACATATGCCATATTTATGCATTGTATATTGGACTATCAAGAACGATACTCTTGACTTGTAAACATAAGCTTACAAAAGGATGCAAATACACACCAACTACCCACCACTGTCGCTTCTTCTTTGCTTCCTCACTGGCATAGCTCTACCTTCCTCGCTGCCAATAAGTTTACAAAAGAATATATCATCCTTGCTTCACCTATCTCCCTTAGGTCATAGCAGTCTTCATCATGGCATTATCATATATATTAATGGTCGTGGATATCTAGTAAGAACAGTTTGATCTATATTAGTTTATCTAAATAGGTCAGGTAACCTCTTTTTTCCCGCAAGTTCAAGCGATGGCATCAACCAACAATAGAAACAAAGACGATGACAATGGTATGACAAAGAAAAGACCCTAGGAAGGAAAGATAAGAGGAATATGAAAATGAAAGTGTAAATTTTTTCCCTGAACGGAACCAGCCATAAACTAGACCTGTACCAATTCGACAAGGGACCTATGGTTACAGATATCAAGATTTAAAACCTTTATATGAACTATCTTTAGGTTTAAAAAATTACAAAATCAACAAAAGTGGATATAGCTCTGACATTACCTTTCAAGGAATATAAGTATTACATGGTCCTTTACAGATCCAAATATATTAAAGCCCTTTAATTTTCAGTTTCAGTAATTTGAAAAGTCATCCTTTAATCTCAATGATATGGTCTATGAATCTACTGCTTCACATGACAAAAAAAACCTTCTTTATCTAAAGATGATAAACATCATGAACTTTCTGACCAAACATTTAGCATCTCTTGCTAACCATTAGCATATGATGCTCTTTCACAAAGATATATATTATACATGCAAATAACTGCAGAACTTTACAATACATTTCTTCTATACAGCTTTCATCATAAACTGACTCTTCCTCAAAGAGATAAATCAACCTCCTCTTAATAGTAAGGTATAGTTTGTCGAGGTCAAATAAAGTACAGAAACAATGAAAGATGGAAACTAAAAATTAGTAATTAAACACACCTTTTTCAATGCCAAAATAATTGGGTCATTTTTTGAGAGAAAAGGTGCTACTCGAGGTGTCCGCGATAAAAGATCCAACCATGATTTCACATAAGATGGGTTTACTGCCAAACTACTATTATCTGCAAAAATCTGGATATTTTTTCCTTCATATCCATAAATATGCCTCTGCATGAAAGTAGAAAACATTATATACTAGAAAAGCAACACCACTTTATTTCATGAGCAAACACAATATTATGAGGATCTCCAATTTTATATCCAGGGACTAATATCAACATATAGAACAGAGAACTTAAAAGATAGGAAGACAGCCAATAATAGACCCAGGAAAGTAAAATGATTGAAGTGAGCCAGAACCCAAGTATACATGTTCTGAGCCTTGCTCCATTTTCTAATATATTTTTCAAAGAAAAATTTTCTAATTATATGTAAAATAGATCATCAACTCACTTCTCATAAGCTAAGATCAAGGCTGACCTAAGCCCAGTGATGTTAAGAAAACAGAACTAGGAATGCCATTGCTCTTAACATCAGTATGTTAACATCAGTATGTACAAAGTTGTCTCCCAAAAGAGTGACATGTCGAAAAGTAAAATATATGCAAATAATGGCGGCAAACAGAAAAAGAAGTGCTGCATTGTAACCGAACCAGAATGAAAAAGAAAACATTACCGCAAGACTCTCAGCAACTAGTTTGACGCTTCTATGGATTGCAGTATCATCAACTATATGCCTGCAGCAAAAGTGAATTTTAAGAAAGAAGAATTAAAATTAGATGAAGAGAAAATATAGAACTACATTATCATCTACCTTGTATCGTACAGTCCTCCTGTGCTTTGAAGCAATTCAGGTGCAACTGAAAGTTCGGACAAAGTGACAGCAGTTACTCTTACCCTGGAAAATTGCTCGTGCTCCCATGCTACCTACATCAAAATTTTAACA